AAAAAAAAAAAAAAAAAAAAAAAAAAAAAAAACCCCCCAAAAAAAGGGGAAAAAAAAAAAAAAAAGAAAACCCCCTCAAAACTGGCAGCAAAGAACTATCCACACTCTTGGCTCCATATAATGCTGGGTGGAAGGGGTAAGAAAGAAACAGGGGACAAACTGCAGCTTGGAGCCAAAACATTTCCCTTCTGCATGCTCCTGGCTCAGTTCAGCCCTTTGTGACTCTCAATTTCAACCCCTTATGCACTCCCCTATAATCATCATAATATGTGGCTGTTTGCTTGCTCAGTGTATTCAACTTCCTCACAGCAAGCCAAGCTCAACCCAGCACTAGCATTTATTTCTGGATTTTAACCAGGCCTGCCTAAAACCAAACAAGACTCAGTGTGGTTTGCCATATTCACTGGGAGAATTGCGCTCAAACACAAGGGTTTGTGGCCAAGTTCACCTCATGCTGCTGGTGGTGATATCACCATTACACTTCGCTTTAGTACTTTTAAAAGTGCTGTGGAAAAAGGGAGGGTTTCAGCTCTGTGTCTGGGCTTTGAGGGAGATGCAAGTGATTCTAACAAAATGGACATCACTGACTGTTGTCCTTTCATTAAAAGAAAAAACCCTTTATTAGTCAAAAGTCAAATTATTGTTAGAAACCCGTAATGACTAAATAAAAAGAGCCAACAAAATGTGAGGAGGGCAGACATCAACTGGGAGATGGAACAACCCTTGAGACAAAATAGTTCCAACTCTGCCTAAAATAACATTTTTCAAGAGCTGGTCCCACTGTGCTTGGTGTGGGACCAAGCCAGGTCCCACAGCCCCAATCAGCAATGCTCGTGACACATCCTGAAACGCCGACTCAGAGTTCCAGAGCTGTCCTGAGAGTTCCCAGAGGTGCAGCAGAACTCCCTGTAGGGGCACCAGGATGAGGCATCCAAAGTATTTAGGGCAACATAGGTAGGATTCAGGCATCTGTGAAAGTCTCTGCCAAACATCTCAAGTGTGATGAAGAACAGGTTTCCAGCTCTGCTGCCCATCTGGAAGATTCACCAGGGAATGAGGGACTGTCTGTCCCATGCCACTTGCCTGCCAGTTGTCGTGGGTCTAATGAGAGTTCCCATTTTTGTTCATGTTTTGGCAACAGGAAGCATGTCAGGATCTCAGTTTCTGTTCTTAAATCACTAGTATGTGGTGTAAACACCTCATTGAAAGTCAGGAAAATAAACAACCTGAAAGCCCCAGGAGAACCCCTCTACCCGGGAAAGAATGGAAATCTCTTCCCCCTTGTCCTCCAAAGCTGCTCCCCTGATTTTGCAGGGAGTGGCTCACGAGGTTAAACGCCTGGGGCTGACAGTACTGCAGACTCTAATGCAAAACAAGAGCTGTGGCTGCAAACTTCTCATCACTAGCAAACTACAACAATTTGGGTAGACCAAACTAAATCTCCTAATCCACGGACAGCTAGAGAAAGGAAATGCATTTTTCTGTGTTGATGACACCGAACAATTCGTTGGGAAGGACTAGGGAGGAGGGAGAAGAGAAGGAATTTCCATTGATAGTGCCAGAGATGCAGTTAATGTCCTGTCACAGAGCATTTATACCCGATGAAATTCATTCCTGTGCTGAGAGCTGGCATGGAGTTACATCTCCCTGAAGCTGCAGCTAACGGGCAGAAGGAATGGATTTCATTTCAAGAGCCGTGTTCCGGATTCCTGGACGAGACGCTCAGCAGTGAATGAAGCACTGTGCAGCACAGCCTCAGCAGCCTTGAAGTGAATTTTGCTGTGACCTAACAAAAACCACAGACTTGAAATTGTGATGATTCAGAAATTTTCAGCTCGCAACAGGGGTTCTTGCAAAATATTTGGGAACTGCAGGAAGCGTTTAATGGTCTCCCTATGTCAAGGAGAGGAATCCTGACCTTTTCTCTTCATGGTTCTTGTTCCTTATAAGCAATAATTTTAGAAGGATATAACTAAGCCTAAGTGGCCTTTTTTTCTAAGGTTGCTTATAGAATAACAAGTGACTTGGATTGGTCCTTTATGTACTGATTCATCCTCTCTCTGCTGTTGGAATGTGCTGAAGAATGGCTACAGGGACAGACCATGCTCCCAGTCACACGTGTGGCTCCCCACAAGTGTGTGCAGTAAAGGAAATCAAGTGGAGAGGTTTATCTGCAGAGCAATACAATGGAGCAACAAAAGTCAGGAGAACCTTATAAGGGTATGTGCCTTTCCTAGCCAAGAGTCAAAAAGGTAGGATTTCAGTAGGGAAAAAAATTTGAATAGACCAAGAACATGAATCAGAATACCAATGGCTAAAGCAGAGGTTTGGGACATTCCTAATCCTTATTTGGATGCAGAACCCATGAATGGGTGGTTTATAAATTCAAACTGATGTCATCTGAAGGAAGACTTCAGGTGAATCTTCCTTTCATTTCGTGTTGGCTTGAGGGACAAACTGACAGAGGGACGGACAAAGGAGCTACATCCCTTTCCTGAAATAAATGAGAGACATCTCACAAAGTCTAACAGCATGCAGTGTAATAATTACTACATGCCTTTATTGTAATTACTGTCAGAGATTCCTTTAAAAAAGAAACCAGGCTGTTCCACATCATCTTGAAATACTACTTGTAAGACTATTTCTGCCAGCTTGTAAATGATGGCTATGCAAGAAACTAATTTGAGCATCACTGGAAATTATAATTTTGTTTTATGTGCTTCCAGTAATGTTTTCTCAAACAAGGATCTTACATTTGTGCCTGTATTTGTGTAACTAATTCTGTGGAAAACATTAGCACAGTCACACGCTTGCTGACACTGTGTTTTCTCATTCAAATTTCAGACAATACAATTTTCAGTTTGTGTAAGTACTTCTACTGCCCTTGAAGACATAAGTGCAGTGCAAAATTACATGAACTGGACTTAAAGTAGACAGAAATGAGGTCAATGTCAATAATTTAACCTTCATGGGAACTGTACCTGATACATGAACCTTTTATATGCCACTTGCAAATAATTGCTAAAAGCAGATATTTCTTCCTCATGTTTGCTTATTCCACTTCATCCTGTTCCTTAGGTACTTACATTTAGCAGATTTCCCTGAGCAAATTTTATATATCATAACCCTGCTGTCCTTGAAGACTTCTCATAACCCTTTCCTTTTCCAGGCCAATTGAGTTCAATGAGCAGCTTGTATCAGCAGCAGGGTCTGTTCACACATTCATTGGCTCTATACTCAGTAACTGGAAAAATGACCTCAAACTGCCTCCTCATTGCATGTAGGGATGGAAACTCCTCTTTTTCACTGATTTCCACTCAGTAATTCTTCCTTTGGAGCAAGCAAAGTACATCCAACGCTCAAACAGCAGCATTTTCTGACAATGTGCTTTTCACCTGGCTTTTATCAGAGAATTCCAGACATAAGGTGGAATGTGAGACGGAATTTGAGGATGACACATCATATCTTAGGTCTCAGAAAAGCAGGAACACTTTCTGAAAGCAGGTTCTCGTTTCAAGAAACTGGATATTTGCTGGTTTATGATGCTGTGTCCCGCTTCAAAAGCTAATACTCTCCCTTGCTGTGGCCACCTTAGTTCTGTGAATATTATGTGGGATAATGTGTGTCTAGTGACTCAAAAAAATAGATAAATAAAAAAAGGCAGTGCAGCGGATCTAAAAATAAAAATTAGGAAAGGTGGAAATTAGCTCACCACAGCTCACCTCAATTGCCAGGTCAGGTTTCAATTTCCAGTAAGTTTTCAGCAGAGTAGCTTCTGTAAATGTATCTGTGGGCACTCCTCATACAGGGGAAAAGAAATTTCCTTGAAAACAGATACCTGACATCACAAGTACGTGTTTTCCTGGAACGGAGCACACGCTGGATCAGCACTCTGCCTGCTGCCATAGCCTTCATCCCAGCAGTGATGTTACTGCTTGCACATCAGCACAGAGAACGCAGTGGGCTTGCAGGAAGTGGAACCAGGGCGTGGGGCTTAGCATGCTGAAGAACTCTTATGGAAAGCTGTGGATGTTCACCTTAGAGATGTCCGGAAACACTGTAGGCTACTTCACACTCAGGTTTGTCTGAAGAGTTGCTTTTATACATTGGGAACTGCAGCAGACTTTTTAGATTAACAATTCCTTTGCCAAGACAAAATATGTGTGAGAAGCATGGAACAGAACCTTCCTGTATGGTCTGAACTTGGGTGCTGGTCCAGGCACTGTACCAGAATGGGGCACGCACTGTGCTTTGTTCACTGGCAGCCTGAGAGCCACACTTACTGTCCACACCCTCTGCTTTGCAGTATTCCTTCAAACTAGGGAAAAGAACCGCACCCCCAGAGCAGCAGAGATGCCCATGGGAAGAAGACTGATAGAAGAGGTTGACAAAATTCTTGTACAGCAAGGTTACATTAGGGCATCACATTGAAGAACCCGTCTACTTAATAAAGGCTCAACACCTAGTAGTTCTTTCACCTTTTTTTTTTTTTTTCTTTTTCTCAGAGTTGATTTTGGACAGCAAGAAATAAAGTCAGACAAAGAGGGTGTTAAATTTATTTTGAATGGAATGCAATGACACCGATTTTTCCAAGCGAGGTGTGAAAGCTTGTAACCTTGAGCTCCCAGCAGCAGATAAAACATCACTCAGGGTTGCTATTTCCAACCCGTATGTTACACCTCACCTTCTCCCCTGTGCAGAACATTACTCCTCCTGAACGGAGCAGTATCCGCTTACACGCAGCGCTGCTCCACGGGAAAAAAAAAGAAAAGTTTGCCTCTCCCCTCAAAAAAAGCCATTTTGTTCAGCCAGATGTTCTACAAAATGGCACGGCGGCTGCGCTCGAGGGGGGCCGGGCCTCCCACCACGGCGGGGCTCGGTGGGGCGGTGGCGGCCCCCGCCCGGCCCCCGGCGGCGCCGAGGCCAATGGGCGCTGGGGCGGCGGCGGCCGCCTCCTCCCGCCCAGCCCGCCCTATATAGCGCCCGGCAGCGGCGCCGTGCCGTCCGTCGGGCTGTCCGCGCCGAGCCGTGCCGAGCCCAGCCGTGCCAGGATGCCGGGCCGCACCGTGTGGCGGCTGGCGCTGCTCGCCCTCTGCCTGGGGGCCGCGGCGGCGGGGGGACATCGCCGCGGAGCCGGCGGCAAGAGCCGGCGGCAGGCGCAGACCCAAACCACCTCGCTGCCGCAGGGCACCGCCGCGCAGGGAAAGCGTGAGTACCGCCCGCGGGCAGGGCACGGCGCGGGGCTTGGCACGGCAGCGCCGCTGGCCCCGGGGGGCTTTGTCCGACCCCCGCGCTCGCCCCTCGGCTCGGCGGACCCGCACACGTGTGCGCCCCGCGCCCCTTCCCTCCCGGCTGCTGCCCTCGGTAACGCCGAACTTTGCTTTCTTTCCCTCCTCTGCATCCCCGTTCCTCCTCTCCCCCCAGAGACCTGCTATGACAATGGACGGTACTATCAGATAAACCAGCAGTGGGAGCGCACTTACCTGGGGAACACTCTGGTCTGTACCTGCTACGGTGGGAGCCGAGGGTTCAACTGCGAGAGCAAGCCCGAACGTAAGTTGGTGGCCCCTTTTGTCTGCGTCGAGACCCCAGCGCGGCTTTTGGTGCCGAGTAAGCCAAGCCTTGTACGAGTCAGGGCTGGCAGCCCAGGCTTTCCGCTGAAGTTTGGTACTTAGGGTCAGTAATGGGATCTACACTCAATTACACTGAAGATCTGGCTTGTGATTTTAAGAAATGCTTTTCATTAGCGATGGGCCTGCCACCAGAACCCTGAGCCAAACATCACTCATCTCTCTGGAGGATTGGATCTAAACATTAATTTTGGAGCCAACCTCTTCTTTATAATGAACTGAACTGACTCCTGGACTCGCACTGGGAAGTTCAAATCTGGAGTCACTTTGCAGCTCTGGCTCTGCTCTGTTTGATTGCTTCACCCCAACTTTTCATAGCTGTGCAGTGTCGTCAGCTTGTTTAAAAATATTTCAACTTACAACTTTCCACAGCCTCCCGGCCGTACTGTGAGCTTTCTATAATTGAGTGTAAAATGAGATTGTTTAGTCTGTGCAGAAAAAGTTTAGGGAACAGAAAGAAGTTTAAATGCAAGGTCTGCTGGAGGATGTGTCTCTCCAGGATTCGGTGTGGTTCAGTTTATCAGATGCAATCTATCTGTATTTATTGGTCTGAAGCCACTGGTTTGCTGTAATTCCTTTATGTTGCTCTGGAGATAGAAGAGATGAAAAACTGGTTCCTGGCTGACAGTGTTCATGTAAGACAGATGTGAGCATCTCAGCCATCTGTTCTGCGAGATTTGTGTGCTGCCTGCTTCACGACTGCAGTATTTTAAGGAGTACTCAGTCCCCTTACTCCATAAAAGAGGATTCAATCTACTTTTCCTTCGCTGCAGAGATTCCCAAGTTTTACAGTTCTGAAGTCCGATAGAAAGTTTTCCTTATGATACAATGAACTTTATCTGCCCAGCAGTCAGAAAGTTGTTCTGCTTCACATCTGTAGTCTGGTGGCAGCACTGATGTTCTGTAATCACTTACCTATGCAGCAGTGTGAGCAATGCACAAGTAGTGAACTTTGCTGTTGACTTTGGTGGGACTGCTGCAGAATTTGGGATTAATCTACTCAGTTTTTGCTAAGTCAGAGCAGGGAGGATTAGCATGACAAAGCACACAGCTTCCAGGGGTTGTTTGCTCCCTCCTGTCTTCTCTACTGTTGCCTTCAAACAGCTGGGATTGATGCTTTCGGGCATGCCTGCCATGTGCAACTTTTGGTTCCCTGAGGGGGGGAAGAAGAGGTTATTGAGGTTGTTGAGCATCACGGGGGCCTTGAGGGGGCAAGTTTCACCCAACTTCCTCTCTTCTGTTTCACCCCATGAGGATAGAGGAGACTGATAGGCATTTTTCCCCAGGATAAAAGGAGTATCTGTGTGAGGAGTCAAGGAATGCATTTCTGTTGACTCTGCATGTTACTGGTGTGGTTACATGAAGCTGATTATTTAAATTTTTTTTTTTTTCTCCCTCATAGCTGAGGAGACCTGCTTTGACAAATACACTGGATCCACTTACCGGGTCGGGGAGACCTATGAGCGCCCCAAGGACTCCATGATCTGGGACTGTACTTGCATTGGAGCTGGACGTGGGAGAATCAGCTGCACCATTGCCAGTATGTAACTCAGAGCCTCTTCCTACAGCTATTGTTCCTTAGAGTCATATTTTCCAGAGCAATTTACATACAATTCCCAGTGCCTGTTAGCTACAGTTGCAAGGGGTTTAATCCAAAGCCCACTAAAGCTTTGAAATTAAAAGTCCCTGCCCCATGTACATACATTTGCACAACCAAACTCCTCTTTTGTTTAAGAGATCAGGTGCTAAGTGAGAAAGCATATGTCAAAAATTACTGTTAGTGTCCAGCCATACTGCAGGCTGGTAATTTATTATGTACAAGAGTGTGTTACATCTTCACAGGTGCAAGTATAAAAGTAGTTTTGTGACTGGAGAAAAAGTCTGCCTGCAGCTGGTGGGTCAAAATAACACAGTCAGCATTAATGAGACTACTCAGAATAAATGATAGTAAATGAATGTCACCTGAGAGCCAGTCCTTCATCCTCCAAAAATGTCATTGAGCACTTGTCTCTAAGGAAACTGGGATTTGATATCCAGACAGCAGCTTAACATGTTTCTGCAACTCCTTTTTCACTAGCCTGACCCATACTTTCCTCTTGCTCTTCCCTCTCTTCCCTTGGTCTTTTATCCCCAGCTCCTGTTTCACGTCTCTGTCTGGAAATCCTTTCCTTATTGAGTCAGTGAATTGTTCACAATTTCCCCTCAGTTCATAATTGGACTTTCTGTGAGCCCAGAGGAAGATTGCTGTGTGTCAGGATTTTTAGACTGAGATTTCAAAGTCTCTGAGGTACCTTTTGAGAAAAGTCTTGCTGTTAAAAGTATCCAGTTTCTTGTTTAAGACACACATGCAAACCCTAGAAGTGTTGCCACAGAGGACTCGGAAACCAGCCATCATTGTAGCATGGGAAAAAAATAATGCATTAAATCTAACAAGTGAAGCTGGAGCCCTTCTGAATTTAATGGCACTTTATTGGGCAGGGATGATAAGTGTTGTAAGAGAGAGTCAGTAAGGAAATTGTGAGTGTAAGAGCAGCCTTGTTTCCTCATCATCAGCCTGGTTTAGAGCTCACTGGAGAGTCTCACTGACTGCAACTGGCTTTGAATCAATCTTCAGAGCTCTGAGATTCCCTGCTTTCACAAATGAGCCCACAAAACATATTACTGGCTCTTAATAAATGATGAGATGTGGGTGTTTTTTCTTTCTTTTTTCCTTTTTTTTCTTGGATTCTTCCAAAGAAACAAGCCCTGTGTTTGCAGACTGCCCTGCACTGTGCTGCCCTCCCTCAGCCTGGGCTGCCTCAGAGCTGTGGGGCACTGATGGGCTGGAATCTGCCTTTCCAGGGCAGGCATTCCAGACTCCAAAAGAGGTTTGATTTCCCACTGGGCTGTCGCACCAAGCACCTCCTTATCCTCCACGTGCTGTCCTGGCCATCATGTCCCTCATGAACGGCCGCAGAGAAGCCCGAGTGGCGTTGCCTCAAACAAGATGGAGGCAAACCCTCTCTTGCCACCCCTCAGCCTGAGAGCAGGGTCTGAGGGAGAAATGGGGCCTCATCGCTCCCTGGCATTCCCTTTTCACACAGCTGGGCTTTGGCTGGGGTTTGGAACATGGAGAAATTAGCTGAGGGAAGAGGACAGGGCCTGGAAAGTGCAGAAAATAGTGGGCTCCAACAGAAAATGGCGGGTGCCAGTGGGAAATGTTGAGCGCCATTTTGAGGCTGATGTTCCCCCTCATTCTCCTCAGTGTCCCTTCTCCTTCTTGCTGCCCCTTACCCCAGCTGACCCCCTTTGCCCCTGGCCAGATGGCCCTTACCTTTTCACCACCATGCCGTCCCTGGTGTGTCCCTCACCATGGCTCCCCTGTGTGCCACCACAGATCGCTGCCATGAGGGTGGCCAGTCCTACAAGATCGGCGATACATGGCGCCGGCCCCACGAAACGGGCGGCTACATGCTGGAGTGTGTGTGCCTGGGCAATGGCAAGGGCGAGTGGACCTGCAAGCCTGTGGGTAAGTGGCCGCTCCTTCCTTCTCCCTCACGCAGTCAGGGCGTGTGGGCCTTTTTCCTCGGCCTCCCTGAGGTGTCCCTGTGTGGGAATGCCCTGGGTGGGCTCTGATCCGCTTTCCCCTCACAGCCGAGCGATGCTACGACAACACGGCTGGGACATCCTACGTGGTGGGAGAGACCTGGGAGAAGCCCTACCAGGGCTGGATGATGGTGGACTGCACCTGCCTCGGTGAGGGCAGCGGCCGCATCACCTGCACCTCCAGAAGTAAGTGCCAGCCTGCCGGCTGCTCCGCTTTATTTTACTTATGTTTTTATTTTCCTACTTAATCTTTCATCCTGGATGGGAAAGGAAAGTTATCCCTTTGTCTGCCCTGTGCAAGTAACAGTAGTTTGAGAGGGATGGGCGTCCCCTGAGGAGTGGCGGGAAGCTGAAGAGGGGAGAGAGGACTGTGGTGGTGCCCCGGTCACCATTTGCAGTCTGGGAACACTCCCCAGAGCTGGTCAGCGGTGCTGGGGACAAGGGTGCCTGGATTATTTGGGGATTTAATCTCATGGAGAGAGAAAGGTGTAAGGGATCTGTGTGTCAGCTACACCAGCAGCAGGCATCTCCCAGGAAGTCAGGGAAATGGCTTGGCCAACAAAATGGCAGAGCATTTAGCCTAGGACATCCATTGTTGTGCTTTTGAGGAGCCTTCTGAGGGACAGTCAAGTGGTTTTTAGGTTAAATACCCTTTCCAACAGCAGGATCTGCAAGATTAAAATATTTTAAAATATTTTCTTACTTCTCTCTATTACTGTTTAATTTATGTGTTAGCTAAACCAGGGTTTGTTTTGCCTGCTCTACCATCTCGCCTATGACTTTTCCCACCCCATTTCCCGCTCCAGCAGCATGGGTGTTTTTTTTTTTAAAGTTTTTGCATCATTGAGGGACATTACCGTAAATACTCCATTTTATTTGTATTTGCAGAGCAAACAGGACTTTTAAAACCCAAAATCTTGCTTGTTTATTGATCTTCTGTTCCAGTCCTGTTAGCTCCACCACAGAGCTTACTTGTCTCAGGTTTACACCAGTTGCCTCAAGAAAATGTAACTTTGTACCTTACACCTTGGTTATGCAAGGTTTGAGAAACTCTTCTGTAGCCTTTCAGTTGCCTCATATTCAGTTGCCTTGGGGCACACAATGGATTTTTGCTGATATAAACAGCAGACTTGATGATATAAACAGCAGTAAAGAATAAGATACTAAGGAAGGTTGAGATTAAAATGGAAGATCTGGAGAGACTTGGTCAAGAAATAAGCTAGAAAAATCAACCCAGCCTTGACAATATTAAATAAGTCTGTTAAAGACATATGGGGAAAAAATCATTAGCTATCAAATGGGAATGAATAAAACAGAATGTGTTGTTTGTAAATTTTGGAGGACTTATTATTACTAATAAAATGCATTTGGCAGTAGCTTTCTTTCCATCACTCAGGTCTGTGCTGTTGTATCTTGGGGGAAATTGCAGTATGAGGAGCTGTTCATTTTTCATTTTGTTTTCCAATTACATTTGAATGGAGAAATTCAAATTCATGTATATAAAATGATACCTCTAGCCTACAAAACGGCATTACACTTCAAGTGTGTGCTGCTGTTATATATCTTTTATGGCCAGCATTTTCCAGAATCACAGCTGGTTGCTTCAGTGACGTTTCAGCTTTTCATTGACAAGTGTGTCCATTAGACACATTTTTTTCACATTTGCAAAATTGCACGATGAATACCTCACCAATTTACCATACTTCTGGCAAATGCTCAATTTCTGGTCATTCTAGCAGTGTGAATCAGTAACATGTTTTCTACATTCACATTCTGTCCCATGTGCTCTCTCAGTGGCAGTCTGGCTTAATGCATATGTCCTTCCACAGTCCTTCATAAATCCATGTTCATTGATCTGTGATTACATTTGAGCCACTGTATCAAGTTTCCCTTGAATAAGAAGGTAAAATGTTGTAATGGAAGAAGAACTAGCTAATCCATGTGGATCTGGCATCCAGACAAAAGTAGTTTGTTGTGCTGTCCTTTGAACCCATTTGCTCAATTCACTGGGGGCTGTGGGTTATTAAAGAGATTTACAAAGTACTCCTGGTATTACTTGAGCAGCTTGTATTAGCTTCTCTGCAGATTCGTGCAGGCTTCTTTTGAAAGAAGTGGGGTTTTGTGTTGCTTTCAAGCAGGTTTTAGTCCCTTCCAGATGAGAGAGAGCCCTGAACTTGAACTGTGCCTTTTCTATAGTATGAAATGACCAAGCTGCAAAGACTCCTGTTTTTTTCTTAAAAGACAGAAAAGGGTCATTAAAACAAGTTTAGCTTTAGAGGTGTGTGCTAGACAGAATGGGCTTAGAATGGCTTTAAAAAGTAGCTCATTTTGACAATGGCTGCAAAGTGGAAGCACAGTTCTGGAAGTGAATAGAAATCTTTCAGGATTTTGGGATGCTCTCAGCCTGCGCAGTTTAGTGCAGGCTCTAGGGCGTGTAGGAATTTCAGTAGTGGGCTCCAGAGAATAAGGTGGGCCTTTAACTCGGGCTTTAAAGGATGAGTTTCTTGTTTGGTAGAGTAGGTGATAGCTGCCCAGTGCACGCCCAGCTGAGAGTCCCGTTCCTCACACAGATCGCTGCAATGACCACGACACCAAGACTTCCTACAGGATTGGAGACAACTGGAGCAAGAAGGATAACCGTGGGAACCTGCTGCAGTGTGTCTGCACCGGGAACGGCAGGGGAGAGTGGAAGTGTGAGAGGCACACGGCCCTGCACACCACCAGCACTGGTAAGCAGGACATCATGGCATGGAACACAGGGAAGGGGAAGAGGAGTGGCATGTTTTGACAGGTCAGGACTTGGAGTTGAGTTGTTCCATCCTAATTCAAGTATCTTGGAGTCTTGTCTGGGAGAGATCAGCAGCAAAGAGGGTCAGAGTTCAAAAGATGCTCCTTGTTAGTGTGTGTGGAGATAAGATTAATTGGTACCTTGTTTCCATGCACAAATGGGGCTGGCACAAACAGATGGATTGCCTGCACAATCACAGGGCAGTAAATCACATCCAGGGCCCTGCATCCACAGGAACTATCTTTGTCTTGGGAGCATGGCACTCCAAGTTAATGTTTGAACTTTATGTATTCGCCTCAGGGTAACTTTCTTGAAATGTCCTTTATTTAAACCCCACTGAGACCATCTGGTTTCTTTGACATGATAAATACACCTACTAATGGCTGAGCTTTAAAAACCCAGGAATGTCAAGGAATGTATACAATGCTGTTTAGTATCTGTACATGAGATAGCTTGTAATTTTGGTATGAAATATTGCCTAGTTTACGGGTAGCATATTTTTTGTGCCCAAGGTTTACATCTTCAGCTCCTAAATTCTTTTTTTTGTCATTTTAAGGACCTAGGTTTCTTATCAGTGAGTGCAGTGTAGAACTTCTGTTTTCCTGCAGTGCCTGCACTAAATTTTTCTTGGAAAATGACCTTTGACTGTTTGGTACCATCAGGTTAACTTAAAACTCTCAGAAGGTCTAAACTTAAAAATGAGTAGCGCTTCAAGGATGTCAGTCTTTTCAAGGGTTTCCATTATTACTTCCCCTACTTTAGCAGAGCTGAATTTGTGGAGGTTCCTGTGGGAATCATTAGCAAAAATTCATATGATGTAGACAACAAGAGGCCTCTTCGTCTCTCAGTATTATTTCAAATGGTAATGTGCTAAAAACTTTGATTCAAAATTTAAAAATTGCTGAGTAAAAGAATACATTTTAAGTGTATTCTTCTTGTTTCTCAATGAAAAATACAAAATTAATATTTTTTGCCTTACCTCCCTACTCCCTTGGTAATTTTTATTCTCTTATCACTGATACTGATTTTTCTATTCTACATTTCCTTCAACTAATTTTTTTTTTGCCCCAAAAAATTGTTTTCTAAACAATTATATGAAAAAGAGTTTCTAAATGCTTTCTAAAGCCACTCTACAGGGTTGAAAGCCAGAGGCTGTCATTAGCAGAGAGGGGGAGTCGTTCTTCTAATTTGAAATTTGCTAAGTGGAGTAATTAAGCTGCGTCTCGGGAAGCTAAAGAGTGTCGTGCCTTCCGTCTGCTGGAGTGCCTGAGGTTTTATTATCTCAGCACTTAATGGCAGCCTTCTGTTGCTGAGCTTTGAGTGCCACATGTCCCTTCTGTCCCCCGCTGTGCCGCAGGCTCTGGCTCCCCCAGCATCACGAACGTGCAGACGGCGCTGTACCAGCCGCAGCCTCAGCAGCCCCAGCCCCAGCCCTACGGCCAGTGCATCACCGACAACGGCGTCGTCTACTCGGTGGGCATGCAGTGGCTCAAGACACAGGGCAGCCAGCAAATGCTGTGCACCTGCCTGGGCAACGGAGTCAGCTGCCAGGAGATAGGTATGAGCTGGTGTGAGGTCTCTAGGACTGTCCTGTGGCTTAATTTCCAAGTAGAGCCCTTTGTGTGCATGTCAGAAGTGCTCTTTGACAAAGACATACTGGAGAAAGATCCGGCGTGGCAAAAGAAATGGTTTGGTTATTTGAAGCCTTGTTGTTTAAGGCAGGAATGTTTCTCAGTGAGCTGTGTATAACCTGCTGAGGGGAAACAGCCCTTGGGGAGCAGCACCCTCTGTGTGCATGTCAGAAATGTCCTCTGAAGAGGACACACTGGAGAAAGGTGCAAGAGGGAAAGAAATGGCTTGATTATTTGAAGCCTGGTTGTTTAGGGCAAGAACGTTTCCCAGTGAGCTATTTATAACTTGCTGAGGGAAACAGCGCCCTTGGGGAGCAGCATTAATAACTTCATTCAAATGGAGCTGCAGTAATATATGTTTGGAAAAGAATGTGAAGGAATGCCACAGCTATGGAGCTGTCTGTTGGTGTGTATTGGCCCGGCTCCATGGCAGTCAGTGTGGGTTCCCAGCAGCCAGCAACTTGGCCTGGAGGGGCTGTTGCTGTTTTAGAGCCCTGTAATTTGTGAATTGCTTTACACTGCAGTCTTAATGCTGTGATTGTCTTTTTGAAGCCGTGACCCAAACGTATGGTGGCAATTCTGATGGAGAGCCCTGCGTGCTGCCTTTCACCTACGATGGAAGGACTTTCTACTCCTGCACCACCGAAGGCCGCACGGATGGGCACTTCTGGTGCAGCACCACTTCCAACTTCGAGCAGGACAGGAGATACTCCTTCTGTACTGAGCAGAACGGTGAGCTCTTCTCACTGTGTCTTCACATGCATGTGACCCTGGTGGAGGGATGGAGGAGGGAGCAGAGGACACAGGAACAGGCTGCCTTACCAATTCCAGCAGTCTGGAAGGCAGCAAGGCAGTGCTGTGAATGGAGGGCTGCCTGTTGACAGAGCACTTGTCTGCTCTTGGTGTTGTTGGAGGGTGCTACAGATGTACCCTTTGAGTCCTATTCTCTGAGCTGACCTTAGAATGGGAGTACCTGGTCATGGTGGAGCTTTGGCCCAAGGGATGCTTATCTTTGGCTTTGCTTGGGTGGATTGCTTCAAGCAATGCCCATATTAGGCTGCAAAGAGGAGGATGTCCATGGAGTACAGTTTGTGCAGCCCTGTCACTCCCTCCATCCTGGCTATCTAGCCAGGCTGCCATATATAGCAGTGCTCTTCATGTGATTTGTGGTGACTGATCAGGAGCTGGGGCATGACTAAGGCAGCAGCATTGCCTCTTGTCTGAGGATGTCAGTGTTCACAGCACAGATCTGTCTACCTGTGTGGTTGCACTTTCTGGAGTACCTGTCAGACATCCATGGAGCAGTGTCCAGACAGCTTCTTGGGATCTGATCTTGGAAAGAATATTTCATGTTCCCACATGAAAATACTGCTTCTTACACTGCATAGACACTTTCTTTAAAATTTTGTTCTACTTTGGTTGTTTTTTCCTGATAAAAATCAAGCCTTTTTTCTGCAGGGCATATAACACTTTATATTTAAAAAACAAACAAACTAAACCCCAAAAAAACCACCCAAACACTGTCCCTGTCCATGTACAGATTCATGTTTTAGAGAGGCTTCTTGTGATGCACTGTGGAAAAGAGAAATATGATATAGAAAAATCTCAGTAAATGTCTTGTTGTTCTCCAATATTTGTAAAGCAGAGTTGCTCAAGAGGCGATTAGTTCAGGTAGATTACAGCCCTCTTTCCGCTGCTGCTTGCAAAACATGAAGCTTCCAGCCTGCAGAGAGGTTTTGGCTTGTCCTGTTGTACATAACTGAGCTGTAACCCTTTCCTGAGGGTGAAGGCTTCCCTTAGAGCTGAGAGGCACCACTGGGAAATAGCTTCAGAGATAACACAGGTATGCTGAGAGCTGTGAGTTTATTTCATTCCCTAGGCCTTGGGAGAAGGCATTTGCAAAGCTTCTTCCCAAGCACAGTAAGCTTTGGTTTTCCCTGTTTCCTGGGAATTCCCATGGCTGGCTCTGCAGCTCATTCCAGAGCAAAGCTTGAACTGAACTGAACTGACCTCGTGCAAAGCTTAAGTTTCCACATCTGAATTAATTAAAGCCAAGAAAAGAGGCCTGTGGATTATATACAGGGCACACATGGGAAAAAGTGGTGCTAGTGGTTTGTTTTCCAAGCTCTTCCATGCATGCTAAGAGAGAGTTCGGGCTGAATTTGCCTCTGTTCTCTTCATTTTTTGGTACAGTTTTGGTCCAGACGCGGGGTGGCAATTCCAATGGTGCTCTGTGCCACTTCCCCTTCCTGTACAACAACCGCAACTACACCGACTGCACTTCCGAGGGACGCAGGGACAACATGAAGTGGTGTGGAACCACTGAGAACTACGACGCTGACCAGAAGTTTGGGTTCTGCCCCATGGCTGGTAAGGCTGAGAGCCATGAAGGGCTTATGGAGCCTGTATGTCGTTGTTTGAGCTGGAAATTGAAGATCTGTCGTTGATCAGATATTGATGACTTCTAATGAGCTGAGTCTCAGCCCAAAGCTCTTTAAGGCATTTCTGAAGTTCTGGTTTGTCCTTTTTTCCCCATTGACCACCTCTAGCAGAGATGTAGCAGTGCCAGGAGAAGGCAATTTTCATTACTTCTGTGCTACAAGCCAGTGGTTGGCATGCTCTTCAGCTGGTGCAAACTGGTGTAGATCTGCTGGAGAACCTAAATTTGAGTGTGTGCCTAAAATTTCCTTGCTAAGATGCAGAAGCCACTACCTGGTATGAAGGGACATTGCAAATGATCTCACTCCTCAAGATCTTGTAAATTCTGGCCTCATAAATATCTTCTTGCTTTCTTCTGCAGCCCATGAAGAAATCTGCACAACCAACGATGGCGTCATGTACCGTGTTGGGGACCAGTGGGATAAGCAGCATGACATGGGCCACATGATGAGATGTACTTGTGTAGGAAATGGCCGCGGAGAATGGACCTGCATTGCCTATTCACAGCTCAGAGGTACTGATTTTCATGTTGATATCACCACTTCAGTCGAAGTGGGAGGTGGCAGAAATTGGTATTCTTTTCTGTCATTGTGGGTTTGAGCCCGCACTCAGGAACTGTTGTTTACTTTTTGGAGTAGGAAGGGGATTAGAGGGGCTGCGAAGTTCTTGTCTTGTTTATGTCCTGGAAAAGTATATTCCAGCCTTTACAGGCTCTGAAGCAGAAGCAAACCTTGATTGTCTTGATTGTGATATCCCTCCCTCCTTTTGTCTGCATTTAGGAATTGGCAGCACTGTGATTTTACAAGAGAGCTCAGTATAGGCACCTCCCCGCCTCAAGAACAGACAAAACTCCAGACTAGTCTGAAGTTTGAAAGCCAAGCTGTTGTGTTTTATTGTTCTGCAGTGAAATTTTCAATTCCTCTGTGCTGGATTAGCCTTTTGCTGGCTAATCTATATGAAAGGCTGGCAGGAAAGCATGGAGATTACTCTTATTTATTTACTCATTGGTGTGAGTGGTCCAAGTGGAGAAGTACTTAAGCAATACCAAAAAAAGAAGACTTAAAAGCACAGACATTTGATCATCCTACAGCTAGCTCACAGCATTGGCTTCATGTCTGGAAAAGGCAGGGGGTTGCTGTCAAGAGGCCAAGAAAGGACTCTTTTAACACCACTGCTGAAGTGGGATATAATTTATAGGGAAAGGCTCACTCAAGGGCTTTGGAAGGATTTTTAATGTGTTCCTTCAGCATGAAAGGCACTGCTCAAAGTTCTGGGCTGTGCAAGTCCTGTTTCCACTCACACAGCTAGTTCTCTGCAGTTCCATTCTGGAGTTGAAGTGGACTTTCTTGATGAGGAGAGGGTAGAGATATTTTGCTTTTTCAAAAGGCAGAGGTTATCTGAGTAGAGCTGTTTAAGCACAGCAGCCAGACCCTGGCGCCTGCAGGAGAGTCTGAGCGCTCCTTGGTTTATCCAGATGCTGTGCCCATGGTGTGGGAAAGTATCATGGGGAATAAAATCATGGGAATCATGGACTCACTTCCCCAAGGACAGCTGGTCCAGGATTGACTCCAGACCTGAACTTGGGTCTCTTGGGTCCCACTTAACAAAACAACTTGCTTCTGGGCTTGTTTTCATGTTTGTTTTGTCTTTCTGCTCCTTGCTGTGATTAGACTGGCTTTAGGAATTCTGGGCCAGATCCCAGATGGACATTGAGCCTAATAGAGTGATGCCATTGTACTACAGCATGGAGTCTGGTTACTGTGTTATGAGGGAAGAGTAGACTGGTAGGCAGCAGCAGCAGCATCTTGTGTGTGTAAAAGATCAGCCTTTACCTTCAGATTACTACAGAGGGGAGCAGAGGTATCCAGCAGAATAACATCATGAGAATGGCTGTACTTCTTCATTGTATCTTCATAAATTTGGAGCAGCCCTTTTCTCCTTGTGTAGTTGCAGTGGTTTGAGGCTGAGGAGTTTCAGCTGAGATATTCCTCAGAGGAGATGGCTGGAGAGTCAGTGTGGTGGTTTAGATTTTTGTTCACACGTGGGATCTGTCTGAAGGAACAAAGAGGCAGTTCTGTAGCTGGATTGTGTCCTACAGACCTCTTTTCTGCCAGTGTTGCTTATTTGTGCAGTGCTGACAGATGAACTCGGGAGCAGGGCTGTTGTGTGCAGCACTGTGAGGGTCACAGATTACAGAAAGGAGGGCTCCTCTGGCTTGGATGGAGCTGGTCACAGTCAGTCTGTGTGCTGATCTAGCAGAGAGAATGGTGTTCCAGGCAGAAGGGCTCTGTCTCAGTGCTTAGACTTATTGCTGATAAGCTCTGTTCTCTCCCCCAGACCAGTGCATTGTGGATGGCATCACCTACGACGTGAACCAGACCTTCCACAAGCGCCATGATGAGGGGCACATGCTGAACTGCACCTGCTTCGGCCAGGGCCGGGGGAGATGGAAGTGTGATCCTGTTGGTGAGTCACTGGCTGTCCCCCCTTGCCAGACACACTGTGTGGCTCTGTACTGGCTGTGGTATGGAGAAACTGCTGTGTGAGTTTGGGCCCAGTCTTTGTCCACTTTCTGTCCTGAATTGTACAAAAGCAAAAATAAATGCAACACTGCATTTGCTTGAGGGTAAGTGAAAGGACATTTGTAAATTTAAGGACATATGCTTGGGTTATCACACCTGCCACAGAAGACTGTGGCAAGCATATGCAGGTTGTGGTAGCAGGGCAGTTAGCCTGTGGTCATTTGGCTGGATTCTGGTACCTCAGCTGTCAGCTTAGCAGGGCTTCAGCCTGAACACTGATAAAACATGCAGCTGGGCCCTGATGCTAGGATCAGTTTTCTTGCCTTTCTCTATCCTAAAATCTTTTAGAGTTTTCTCCGTGAACTGAGGAAGGAGCACCAGCATATATTAACTTACCTTGGACTGAATTGATTTTTTGGCTGCCCTTTGTTCTAGCAAAGAGAAAGCTCAGTATGAGAACATGTGTTAATAGTGCTCTGGAGGTTAGCTAAAACCATCATGATTCTCTGCAGGAATGAGATTTCATGTCTTCTTCCTCTCCCCCTTCCCTAGCAAACCTTGATTGGAAGATAAGACCTGGCTGTTTGGTTTGCAATTACTAAGTCCAAGAGAGCTTCAAACTATTGCCAAGAAAATCTATTAGAAATTGCTAGTTGTGAAGCTGTGCTTTATTAGCAGTAGTATCTGTACGTGTTTACTCAAGGAACATGGATTGTAAAGCTCCTGAAAATTACTAGTTTGAAGGAAGGGGTGGGGGGAGGATTTCAGCTATCTGTTTAAGTGCAATTAAAGTTTTAATTTTGTTGGCTCTCTCTGAACAAAGCTCTTATTTATCCAAGCAAACATAATGCTGGTTCTCACTGAAAATTTCCATAGACCCAGGCATACATGCAGTTGTCAGAGTTGAAGTGCTGTACTGTGCTGTATTTACACTAGTTCAGCTGATTTCAGGATCTGATCTGTCCCCCTTTGGTTTATACAGTGGTAAATCTGGAAAGATTCTGCTGAAAATAAAAACATTCTGGGGACTATTAAAGCGTAAATGAATTCTGAAGGCAGGAAGAATTTTTGCCTTTGATCTCCTTGAGAGCAGCATGGTTTAGCTTTGGATGAGAGATGAACTCAATAGGCCAGGGCAGAATTCAGCTCCAGAGTGGATGAAAGTCTTTCTAGAAGGAACACCCCACTGAAATGCATCACAGCTGAATTAGCCCCCTAATATCCAACTTAATACATGCAGTGCTGTATTAAGAACCTTGATTTGAGACTCCAGTTCTGTTGCCACTTTATGTACCTATATTTGCAAATAAACACCAGTGCTGCATTTCTCTGTGTAAAGTCTTTTGGGACTTTTTTGTAGCTGTTCCACTGTGGTTTCAGTAACACCCAGTGTGAACTGTCCCTCTTGTTCCTCCAGACCAATGCCAGGACTCAGAAACCCGCACCTTCTACCAAATTGGAGACTCCTGGGAGAAGTATGTGCATGGGGTCAGGTACCAGTGCTACTGCTATGGCCGTGGGATTGGAGAATGGCATTGCCAACCTCTGCAGACCTACCCAGGTAAGAAACCCTGCAGAAAATGAACTCACCTGCTGAATGAGACCTGAGGAAGGCCAGCTTTCCAGCCCTCACCTGTTCAGGCTTCTGTACCTAAAGCATTTTGGTTTCCTTTTGAAACAGAACAGATTCTCCCTGTCCCTTGGCAGACGCAAGCACGTGTCAGGGGTTTATAAAGAGGTGCTCATGCTGTTTGCAGCTATTCCTGAGGCCAGGGTTAGTTCAGAGAATGACCCTCAGTGCACACAACAGCTTGAGTTTACATTGCCCCTTGGTATTTAGTGATATCACACATGTAATCTTCAGCTTATATTTCCTGAAACTGTAGTTCTTCCTTTTCCACTCATTACAGAAGCAAAATCCATCGTGGAACAAAATGTTTTTCCTGATCAGTGCCCCAAAGACCTTAAATATTTGATCTCTTGTTTGTCCAGGCAATTCCAGGAACTCTCTATAGGGATGGGCAATGCCTGTTTGTTGGTTGTTCAGCTTCAGTTCCCTGAACAGAACATGAGGGGAGCCTCTCTACTTTCGAAACTGTTTAAGGTTGTAACTGCCACTGTCTTAATCTGAATAAGATGAAGTATTAAGGTTGCTGAGCTTCATTTACTCCTGTTGGACTGCTTAAACAAACATCTCCCTGAGCTATGTGAAATATGCATGCCTCCAGCCTGCAGACCAGGCTTGGGGCTGATTTAGACACAAGAGTGACTGAAAATGTGTAAATAAATCAAATGTAATGTTTCTGAATGTAGGTTTGGGGTTAGGTGAGCTTTGAAATTTTCTGCCTGTGGGCACAGGCTTGTTTTTCTAGAAATCCTATTAAATAGGGAACAGGTATATATGTTACATGGTTGTCCAAATAAATTATTATTAGAAATGTTGGGAATGGGGTGAGGGTGCAGCTATTTAATGGCTTAAACACTTTCCTGCAGATTCCAGGGATCCCTTTGCTGGGATTTTCTGAGAACTAACATGAGGACAGTGCTGCTGAGTGTTCAGTGACACCTCCCCAGTGGGGCTGGGAGGGACTGAAAAGAGAACCCATAGGATCATAAAACCTGTCCTTCTCTTTTGGAGAGCTTGTTGGAGGAAATAGGCCTGAGCCTGACCTAGCTGAATGCAATCAGTAGTCTTAAGCATTAGAGCACTGCAGAGCTTGTATTTTCATCAGTTCTTGGGCCTGTTTTGTCTCAGGACTTCCACCTGCCTTTCTGGTGGGATTTGTGTGCTGAAGAAAAGTCTCACTATCTCTGGAGTCCTCCACAAAGTCATGAAAATTCAGTGTTTCAAATGAACCGATTAAGAAATTTAGTAAAACAGTAGAAGATTAGTCACTCTTTTCAGGGTATATTCAGTGTCATATCCGAAATGTTTCCCTCGCCATGCTGCATGATTAGACCTGGATTTGGCAGGTGGTTTTTATGATGGTTTTTATTAGCTTCCCTTCTGCCATTGCAGAAGATATTAATGAGGAAAACAGTTACTTGCTGAGAACTTCCCCCCATTTCTTTGAACAGCAAGACTTTGCTTTGCAGACTTTTTCTCTGCTAGACCTCTCCCATCTTCCATTTCATTGGTAGCTGAGAGGACATGGACCCAAGGAGTGCACATTAACTTCCCCACAGAATTTATTCTTATTCACTGGTCTTCTAGGTAGCAGTGAAGGATAGAAAGACAATAGAACTCATTTCCCATGTATAGAAATACAATGTGAGCCATGCAGCTTTCTTGGTTTTTCACGACTCCACAACATCCCCAGCAGGTTAAAACCAGCAATTCTTTTTTTCAGGCTCAACTGGACCTGTTCAGGTGATCATCACAGAGAGTACCAACCAGCCAAACTCCCACCCGATCCAGTGGAATGCTCCTGAACGATCTCACATCACCCAGTACATCTTGCGCTGGAGACCTGTGAGTGCCACATTTGTCATCATTTGTTCCTCAAGAGTACTTTATTTGACTTTTTCTGGTGTCTGAAAGAAGTGGCTGACACAATTTCAGCGAACTTGAGTTGCTTATTCAGTGTCTTTGTCCTCTTGAGGTCAACAGCTGCTCTTGAGCATCAAGGAGAGCCAGTGCTGTATAAACACTTAATGTTTTCTTGCCCGAACTTCACTAGTTGCTGTGTTCATAAAGTATTTTATTAAACAAAGCACTAGTGCAGCAAGCAGACAAGTTTATATACTTAGGAATGTAAATCCTTGTGGAAGCTGCTTCATCCAAAGAAATGCTGTTTTAGTAACATGTGCATATCCAGAAACTACCAGGATACATTTTATTCTGTTCATGTGGAGGTAAAAATGACTAGGATATGAAGTCATAAACAGCTTAGTGTAGGATTAAATAAACAATCACTCCCATCTTCTCCAAAGTCTAAACCAAAACTGGTTAACCACAGCTTTGTTGGCTGGTTCCTCTGTGAGGAATGATTTGGTTTAACCAATGTAGATGAGCTGTCTTCCACCTCCCCTGGGTACAGCTTCACAAAAGACCACTTAATGATTAAGAGCATTAGTACCTCAATGCTGCCTGTTATTAGGAGAACAATAAAGGCCCTGATCCAAAGCCATTCAAGGCACTCAAGTCTTTTTACTGATTTTAGTGTATCTTGGATGAAGGCCTGAATGAAATGGACTTTAAAGCACTGAAGTACAAACCTCAGAGGATGGAGCATTATTTTAAAGCTTCCCATAGAGTTCAAACACAGGGTAGAAGGGAAGAACCTCTCTGTATATTGTTTTCAGATGATGGCTTAGAGTTATTATGAACAGCCTTCAAAAGTAACTTCTCCAGCCACTACTTGATGCCTTACTGTGCTTTTTGTGAAGGAATGTGTTGAATTTATAACAAATAATTATTCTTTTAAAGGGTAAAGTTCACAGCTAGGTTGTTTTTAGTTTACCCCTGTAGAACCTAATAACTCAATGCCATTGGTCCTGCTTCTTGGCATACTTTTCTTGTCTCCTTTGACTTGATTCTGTCTGTGCATTAAAGCCATTCAAGTTATACCTGTGTTTGAATATTACAGTGAGTAGTGACCACACTGCAGGTTAGGTCACTAGATGGCCCTGCTTGCAGCCTAGGGAGTCTCTCACTATCTGAGTGTCCTTTTTCTTGCAGAAAAACTCAGGAAGGCAGTGGAAGGAAGCCACCATCCCTGGCCACCGGAACTCCTACACCATCTCAGGCCTGAAGCCTGGTGTGATTTATGAGGGACAGCTCATCAGTGTCCAGCAGTACGGCCACAAAGAAGTCACCCGCTTTGATTTTACCACAACCAGCACCACAGCAGTGACAAGTGAGCTGAGCAGGGGGACATCCAGGAAAACCTCATCTCCTTCACCCACGTTCTCGCTTTGTGCATCCCAGTTAACACAAGTGTAGTGATGTTTAACCTCTTTTTCCTCTCTCTGGTAGGCAACACTGTTTCAGGAGAGACAACTCTTCTTCCTCCCGTGGTTGCTACTTCAGAATCCGTCACTGAAATCACATCCAACAGCTTTGTTGTCTCCTGGGTTTCTGCTTCTGACACAGTTTCTGGATTCCGTGTTGAATACGAGTTGAGCGAGGAGGGTGATGAGCCACAGTACCTTGGTGAGACAACACTGTGTGTGCCAGAGCAAAGCAGTGCTCACAGTCAGGGCAGTCAGTAGAGCTGGTGTGAGCATCACAGTGTTCTGCTCCCTGTCCTTCAGTAGGATTCACTGAGGATATGAGAGTGGCAGGAGCAGCTCGGATTGAAAACTCAGTTCCTTGTCTTTTCTCCATTAATAGCTGTAAGAGAACAAGGCAAGTAAATAGCAATATCCCCTCAGAATACTGTCCCAGAATTCTGCAGAGGAAAACTGCCTGAGCCAGGAGTGGTGGATGAGTAATAACTCTGAGTAGATTAATTATTCTTTTCACCTCCATGAATCTTTGCTCTTTTTTTTTTTTTTTGTTTTATTTTTTTCATTTTACAATCATGTAAAGTTACTGGCTTCCACAGCATTCTGAAGTGAGTGGCAGTTCAGATGAAAAGAGAACTAAATCTGTTTTTTTGAACCTGCCTCCTGGCTAATTTCCTTTGGCATACCTTTGTCCTTCCATCAGAATGGACAGACAGAAGTCTTTCCCAAATGCCCTCTCTTGGCTGCTTGTTATCTCATGGATATCTCATGTTCCAGTCTGCTCTATCAGTTGTTCTGTTTGGATCAGATCTTCCTCATCTTTGATAATATGGCAATTTAGCTGAGCTGGGAAGCTGGTTAAAGACACTGGACTCAGACACAGGAATTAAAACTGGTTTTCTAACATTTACTGTAGAGCCCATGGCACCACTCTGTGTAATGTCATTTTAACTTCTTTTTCTTAGTTTCCTATCTTAACAGTGGTAATAGCAATGTCTCACCTCAAGCGTTTCAAGTTGTAATAGTTATTGGGACATGAGTGTGGTAAAAGAACATGACAAAAAGAGCAGCAATCTCCTGACCTAATAATTCTCCCTGGACTGTTGCTCCCCTGAACTCACAGGCTTGGACACTGAGCAGAAGTGGCTCTTGTGGGGACTGCCAGCACTGTCACCAGCTTTCTGCCTAGACGGCTGAGCTGTGCTGTGGAGTAGCTCCTGAGCTTGTCTGTCTACAGACAGAGGTCTACAGGCAGATTGAAAGGCAATTCCCAGTGTCCCCTAAGATGTTTGGTTTCAGTCTGGTCAGCAAGGAGCTGCTTCTTGGGGAGTTTTCTACATCTGGCACGTAGGTGGACATCTGGGAGAAGGGAAAGAAGTTCACCAGCCCTCGTAGTGTCATTCTTCTTCACTCATGAGTCAGTGTTTCCATATAACCTACTCATGTGAAAGTTTTTCCATATATTTATGTACTGGAAGTTCAACAGTCAGGGTATGAAATGAGTGTTCAGCTGAGATAGCTGCAGTGTGCAGGGGGCTGCTGCTCAAGCTGCCCTGCAATATCCTACAGCAAGCCTTGCTGCCCTTGCTTGCTGGTCCCAGCTCTCCCCACAACTCTTCTGAGGTGAACCAAACACAGTGCAGAGAAACTGTTGTTTTATTGCAGGAAGACTGTGCTTCAGCCCAGATTAGAACAGACTTCTCAATTATTTCATTTGGAGAGAAAGCAAGAGGATGGAATTGCTAAAACAAATTTTTGTCTCCTGCCTTCCTCAGATCTTCCAAGCACAGCCACTTCTGTCAACATCCCTGACTTGCTTCCTGGTCGCAAGTATATTGTTAATGTCTACCAGATCTCTGAAGAGGGAGAGCAGAATCTCATCCTGTCTACTTCACAGACTACAGGTATGTGTGGTTGGCTGTGGCTGCACTTTGAAAGCTGTTGTTACTGTTTGCTCAAGAATTTTTTGTTACCTCTTATCCTCACTCTTGCTGTCCTCCTGTGTTTATTGTCTTAAACAGCTCCTGATGCACCACCTGACCACACAGTGGAAAGTGTGGATGACACATCCATTGTCATCAGCTGGAGCAGACCACAGGCTCCAATCACAGGTTTGTCCTGTTGGAGTGCACTTATTCTGCATTATTGGTAGAATCTAAAATGTAGGTGAAAAGGAAAATGAAATATAACTATGGGACTATGGGACAAAGGTAGTGCAAAATTTTGCCTGGTCAGAGAGACCAGCTGGAAAGCACATGGGCAGTTCAGCATTTCCTTGGCTTTGGTGGCTGAACCAAGCAATGCAGAAGGCTGGATGTAAAACAATTCCTTCTGGATCTGTGTTAAATAAAAACAAGCCCCAAGACCTTATATTTGTATCTGTCATCCAGACCATCCCATAGTGAGCATGGGAACAGCACAGGGCTAAATCCACATGTCAGACCTCAGAGAGATTCTAACCCAGGTCAGATGGTGCTTTGGAAGGTGGTGTGAGTGTGTGGTCTGTAGATGGGACGTGATCACAGGCAGGCCACAGGTCCTGCTGAAGTTCAGGACTATTTTTATCAAAGCTCAGGGGGGAGATCAGTTCAGCCCTCATTTCTAGCATTCTTTGTGCTTACTGTTTGTGCTGAGGATTACATATTTCTCTTGCTTCAGGCTACAGGATTGTCTACGTACCCTCTGTGGAAGGCAGCAGCACAGAGCTCAACCTGCCCGACACTGCCACCTCTGTGACACTCAGTGACCTGATGCCAGGGGTTCAGTACAACATCAGCATCTATGCTGTGGAAGAAAACCAGGAGAGCACTCCTGTCTTCATCCAGCAGGAAACCACTGGGGTCCCACGCACAGGTAATGCTCACTTTCTGGGTTTCATTCACTGAGGTTTCTGTTGCTTGCTAAGGGAGTGCTTAAATGAACTCTGTTATGGTTTTGTGGGCTTGAATTGCAAGTTTCACTGTATTGAAGTTCTGTAGTAAAATCATACTTATTGACACAGTTAAAACACCACTCTGCATTAAGAGGGATGTAATTCCCAGGGATTGGACTGCAGGCAGGTCTTGCATTGTCTGCAGAAGAGAGATCAATTTCCCAAGTTATCTTAGCGGGGTTCTGCTAAGAAATCTTCTTAAGTGCCTGGTGTATCATTTTGACCCAGCACTTGGCTCACAGATGTTCAGGGTTATGTACACCACAACACAATGTTCAGACTGTTCACCTGACTTTTCCCTCTTCCTTCCAGACCTACCCAATATTTTCCTTTGCAGTCAGTGGGGATGGGAGATTGCTCAGCATTGACTGGATGTGCCAAAACAACACCATAAGATCTAAACTTGAGGCGCTCTGTATTTAAAAAAAACTTCTGGTTTCAGGGTTCTTTAAGTATCCACTTGGACTGAATAACCAAACCAAAAGAAGGGATAGTGAAAGAATTGGGATTTGATGTGGTAAGCAGTGGAATTTCATGGTCCTGCAAGTTGCAAGCACGTGTTTGCAAATGGGAATTTACCGGGAATGAACTCAGCTCAATGATTTTATGGTTTGGCTTCTGCATCTTCCAAAAATGTGCACTGGTTAACCTTAGGGCAGTATCAGTCCTAGTCTCAAGAAACTTAATTTAAACACAGGAATTCAAGGGTGCAGTATTGTGGCCCAGCACTGAGGGAACTGCATTTTGCATTTGTCTGCAGTAAGGCCAGATCAGCCCCTGTATTTGTTTAATTATAAAAGGTGGATTTCAAGTTAATCACAGACATTCAGAACATGCTGTGGGTTTTGAAAACCCTCTCTTTTAATTTTAGAAGGAGGTTACTGTTTCCAGCCCCTGGAGTACTTTTTTTCCCCTCAGGCTTTGGTTCTGCATATACTTGAAGTTTTGTAGGATATTACATCTGGTCTTTCAGTTCTTTCTGTCACAGCAAGATACCTTCTGAAGACATAGTATACTTTAAAGTAGATAGTGATGTTTGGAGTTGTGGTCTGCTTGAGTATTGTCTGGGAATGTGGAGGCATGTTTACAGTGAGGTTACCCTGACTTTTTAATTTGTTAAATATTCTTGGGCTAGCCATGATTCAAGCAAAATTAAGGGTTTTTTTTCCTTCCATGAAAACCTGTAACTTCTCCTTCTGCTAAGGACTCCCCCTGACAACTGTTGTACCCCTGTGCTTTCAGATGAAGTGCCTTCCCCCAGAGATCTGCAGTTTGTGGAGGTTTCTGACATCAAGATCACCATCATGTGGACCCCACCCCAGAGCCAGGTGTCGGGCTATCGGGTGGAGGTGATCCCTGTGAACCGCCCTGGCCAGCACGGCCAGAGACTGCCCATCACCAGGAGCTCTTTTGCTGAAGTCATTGACCTGATCCCAGGAACAACCTATCTCTTCAAGATCTTTGCTGTAAACCAGGGCAGGGAGAGCAAACCTTTGACTGGAGAGCAAACCACCAGTAAGTGTCTTTCCTCTGCTTTTTTCAGCCTTTTGAAGCGTGGATTTCTCTGTCACTTGGAGAAATGTATAAACAGAGCACTTGAAGTGCAACAGTTCTAGCCCAGGAGGTATCCCATCAGTAGGATGACAGGGCTGGGAATTCATTCTTTCTAACAATGATCTCTTCAGCAGATTTATCCTCCTCCAGGGCTTTCCAATGGGACTTTAAGTCTCATGGTGCTTTAAAACAATTTTGTATGGCTAGAATTCAACTTTTTTATTACTGACTGAGAATTGATGGACCCTGCAGTTCTTTTACAGCACAGATCACAGCCTGTGACTTCTATATTTATTTTTTTCTTTTGCTGATACCTTAGGGCAGATTTCAGTATGACTTAGAAGCCTTCCTGAGATTCCTCTGAAAGTCCCCACCTCCCTTCTGACAGCTCCATGCCTATCTGGCTCCCCTGGCAGCAGTAGCAGTTGTGCCTGCACATATAAGGAAGGGTCATGCAGGATCCCTCAGAACCTGATTGCTAATGATCTAGTGGCAGTGCAGCACCTCACCAGTGTGAGGAGAAATGCACTTTGTCAGGCATTGTTTTTTGCTTTGCAGCAGTGCAGAGAAGAGAAAGGAGCAGTGGCTGGGCAAGATGTAGGTTTTCAGATGGAAGAGTAAGAGTTTTATCTGGGTGGTTATCTCCATTTTTGACCCAGGAGGAGCAGATCAGACAGAACATGGGACATGGTTTGTTTGATCAGGTCCTGTTTATTGGGCAATAGAAGGGTGAGTGGGTATTTGTGATATTCTTTGGCTGGGTCACTTTATTCAAAGGGACAAAATTCAGTTATGTGCATCTGCTGCTCTTCTGCTACTTCCCAGCAAATAAGAGCAACTTTTGAGAACCCATCCTGGCTCTTAGTAATATGAGAGAGAAGGAAAGGAAATGGGATAATCTGTGAATATAACCATGCTTTTTGAGCAATATCCTTACTTCCATCCATAAAGTTATGAGCAATGAATAGTGCCTGTCCCTTGACTGTGCAGGGAGAATGGGATCCTTATGTCCATCCTTTGCCATAGTGTCTAATTTGAGCCCAGCACAGATGGTGTGAGCACCCTCCCTCCTCTTTCAAGCGAGGCTTTCAAAAGCAAGGATGCGACTTAGGAATCTGAACCCTCTTGGAAGCATTTAGAACAAGAAGGGCTCAGTTCCCAGCCAGATCTGTAATTTTTTGTGGTTGTTTTGAGGAGCCTGGGCTAGGTGTAGGGTTCCTCTGACACTCCACAGAGAGGTGTACGTTGGAGTATAGACATTTAATTCAGACAGCACAGTGCCAGTCACAAATGTCTGGAATCGTTTTCCATAGGCTGTGATCATCTGCTTAACTGCTTGGCCTAAATCACATTGCAGAAACTATTCACATAAATTGCATCCTGTAATCGAAAGTCCTGGGAAACAGAAATCATTCAGGGTTCCCAAGGAAAACCCTGCAGCAAAAGTCTCTTCCCACGGTGTAAATGTGATTCTCTTTTTGGCCTTCCGTTACAAAGCAGTCTGCAAATAAACTCCGAGTGTGTGTGTGTGTGGCTTTTTAATCTTCCCCTTTTTCCTCTAGTATGGGGAGAGGAAGTGATAAAAGCCTAATAGAGCTGGCAAATTAAATTGTGCAGAAAGGAGCTGACTCTAGGCTACACATTTCAGGAAGATGCAATCTTTGTCAGATGAGACTTAGCCCAGGTCTAAGTACCAGCAAGGGATAAAGTTGACTTTCAGCGTATGGGTTGGAGATGGGCTTAAGCCAGGTCACACTCATCCTTTTCCTTTTCAAGTTCTCCCCAGTTTTTTCCAGTGGTGGAAGAAGGAAGACCTCACTTCCTTTTTCCTCCCTCTTCAAAAATGGAGAAAACAACTGGGGAGAAAACAAAAAGGACAAAACTATCTTCCTGCTGAATCATTGGGAGAGTGATGAAAACATTAATTTTTTTTTGCCAAAATATTACTTCTCCAGAAGGAAGAAAAAAAACGTTTGCCAGCCAAAAAGAGCATTGATGAAACCTCACTGCTCTTAATTTCAACATCTGCTTAGAACCTAGAAAAGGTGGGGAGACTTGCCATGTGAACAATGAACTCCTTGCTGCAGCCAGTGCTGCCCTGCCTGCTGTGGGGGCAAATTCCCCTCCAGAGCCTCACCTTGCCTCAGCCCAGGGCGGTGACATCTCCACCAGTCACTGTGGCTCCAGTGAAGGAGCTGTGCTGCCTCAGCCTCTTGTTTATGTAGTTATCTGGGTTATCAGCTTCAGCAGCTTCCCAGGGGCACTGATAAAGAGGGGAGGAGGCCTGGTAAGAGCTGTTCCCTGAGTCCCAGGGGAGAGATGAGCATGCTTGGAATTGTTGGATGGTCGGTTCCATGGTGTGAATATTTTTAAGTAGATCTAGGAATTGGTTTTCTGCAGAAAGTCGCTGACTACTACTTATTTTGACATTCAAATGACAAAGTAGGGGTGGTTTATTTTGGGAAGGGATTTTGAGAGGACTGGGCAAGGATTTAAAAGAATAAATCTTTTTCATGGAAAAGGGCTAAAATTAGGTTTCCGTGCTTACACTGACAAGTCTAAACCGAGCTGGTTTTTAAAAAAATGCTCAGTGCTCATGAGAAACTGTTGAAATTCCTGAGTGTGTTGGGGTCAACCTTTAGGCTGCCTTCCCCATGGCATGCAGAGATGGCAGCGACCCAGATCAGTGCAGCCTGGAGTGCTCAGGTCTGCCTGTCTCGGTGTATTAATGGATGGCACTGAGGCGTGGATGTAGAACTGAAATAACTTCCAGCTCTCTCACGGTCCCACCTTCTCTCTTCCCTTGTGTTGCCCTCCCACAACACCTCAGAAATACAGGCCATGGTTTGGAAGTGGGGGGGAGGTGGAGATTCAGCTGGGAAGCTGATGTGTGTTGTGCTTTGCCTCCCCAGAGCTCGATGCCCCCACCAACCTGCGGTTCCTCAACACCACGGAGCACTCGGTGCTGGTGCTGTGGACGCGGCCCCGCGCCGTCATCACGGGCTACAAGCTGACAGCAGGGCCCACCAGGGGAGGACAGCCCCGCACCTACAACGTGGGACCCTCTGCCACCAAGTACCTCCTGAGGAACCTGCAGCCTGGCACCGAGTACACCGTGTACCTCGTGGCAGTGAAGGGCGACCTGCAGAGCAGCAGAGAGACCGGCGTCTTCACCACTTGTGAGTGAGACACACGCACACACGTCACATTCTCCCCTTCCTTTATAGCCTGCCCTTCTTCAGAACTTGTGCTGAAAGTGCCTATTGTGAGCTGATTTACAGGGGCAGCCTTTTGAAGTAGCATTCCAGCAGAACAGCTTGGAAAATGCTTCTTCTTGTTCTTTCTGAACTTGTTGGCAGGAAAAAGAGCTATTTGCATCAAAAAGCTTTAAGTAAAATACATTTCAGCTTTCCTGGTGATTAAAAACTAGAGGGAGAACTTACTACTGCTACCTCACTTTTTGCTTAAGTGGATGTCAGAGAAATTTAATTTTACTTGATCTTCCTAATTGTTTGGTTTTGGCATGACAAATCAAGGAAAGACTGCAACTCCCTTTAAAATGGGCAAAGAATAGTCTGGTACTTACATAAAGCTGAAAGCACTCATTTCTCAAGCTCAGCCATACCATCTAAGGCAGTTCAACTGCAGTTACCCAAACTGACACAAACATTGCTATATTTAGGGTTTTTTTGGGTTTTTGGTTTGTTTTTTTTTTTTTCTTTTTTTTCTTTTTTTTTTTTTTGCATTTTAGTCATCTCTATTTGTGATGCTGGTTTGGAAGAAATATTAAGCAAATTTTGGAAGGAAAGGGAGTTCTGTAACAACCCCCACATACTTCTAAAAAGATCAAATGGATCCAGTACTTAAATAATGATGATGCCATCACATAAACTAGCAAAACTCAGAGCCACCCAAGCCCAGAACCACATCCTCTTTTCAAAAGAGTGTGGTTTCTTTTAGAACAATATGAAACTAAAATAAGGGCTCAAACTTTTAATCAGAGTACCATTGTTGACATTGGCAAGGTGCTTTTTGCTGACAGTCTTATCTATAAATATTCCTCAAGTAGAATGTGATTTGGTGTCTTAGATTTAATATTGCCTTCAAATTCTGGCTTGTCTGAATGAAACCAGTCCAGTTTGAGACTATGGATTTGATTAACCAAGCCTCCTCACTAATAACATTAGTAACAAGGCCATTTCAGATTCAACTCAGTGTTTTCATTTGGGCTGATTCTGGCATGCACAAGGGCTTTGGCTTCTGAGTGATGCTTCTGACAGATGTCACTGAGACCACAGATGCCTCAGACTGACGTTGGCTTCTTTCTGCTGACTTCACAAGATGTTGGTGAGGGATGAGATGGTCCTTGCTGGGACAGCTGGATGACAGACAGGCTGTGGTATTCTGCTGATTGGAAGGCATATGGTGGGTGAATAAAAAAAAAAAAAACAGCTGAGTTTTGAGGAACACTTTAGATACCATGCCAAAAAACAGGATTCCCCAGATTCTTGGATCGGGATGCATAGAGGATCATGCATCCACTTGAGTATTTTTGTTTGCCTCAGGAATAAAAGCCCTGGCTGTGATTAGACCACTTGCATGCTGTGTCTGTCAAGCCCAGCAGCAGACAAAAATCATCTGTCAGACCTCTCCCAAATCACCGGATTTTCAGAAGTGATCTAGTTCAGCACTCATTTCATACCTCTGGCTGTTTGTGCAGCTGTAGGTCAGGTTTTCAAACTCTTTGGAGCCATCACAGCAGGTGGACTTAAACTCTGGTCAATTCACTCCACAGATCAGCCTGCTGGCTCTGTTCCTCCTTTTAACACAGAAGTGACTGAGACCTCTATTGTCATCACCTGGACACCTGCCCCAAGGATTGGTTTCAAGGTAGGAGGAGCTAAGTCCTGTGTTGGTTTTTCCTCTTGTTTCACTGTGGTGGGGAGGGCAGATTAAAGCTGTTTCCTATGGATTGTGGTGAAGATGGCAGCACAAAGGGGAGAGGTGCAAAGGGCCTGTTGCTCACAGGGAGCGGGTTTAGGTGACAGAGGTCAGTGCAGACATGGGGTTTCAGCTCAAGTGGGACATCCAGACCACAAGTTACAGGACTAACAGCTGGAGTTCAGCACGAGGGCCCATAGTGCTGCTGCTGGATGGTCAGTCAGGGTGCTGACAGCTCGTGACTGAAAAGCAAACCTCTGTGCCCTGCAGCTGGGAGTGCGCCCAAGCCAGGGCGGGGAGGCTCCCCGCGAGGTGATCTCGGACTCCGGCAGCATCGTCATCTCCGGGCTGACCCCCGGCGTGGAGTACACCTACAGCCTGACAGTGCTGATGGATGGCCAGGAGAGAGAGACCCCCATCGTCAGGAGAGTCACTACACGTAAGGCACCTGCTTTTCCTCCATCATTCCTTCTTCCACTCCCCACTGCCTTCTGGGAGGCAGTTCTGGTCTTTCCTCCTTGTCGTGGTCTGGTTTTTCATTTTGATGCACAGGTGGCAGTAGCACTGGCTCATGCAATGCAGGGTCACAGCTTCAGGGGAGTATTGCTGGCTAATTCCAGAGGTTGAGAATATCGTGGGGAGAGGGGTGCTGAGGCAGCCAGCAGGATTCTCAGTGCCATCAGTGACCCATTTGTCTGAACACTTGCAGCACTGGCTCCACCTACCAGCCTGCGCCTGAAGTCCAATCCTGACACTGGCATCCTGATAGTCTCTTGGGAGAGAAGCACATCTCCAGGTAATCATGTGAACTCACTCTCTGCTCAAACCTCCTCTTGTATCAGAATGCTAAGTAACACTTCTTCTGTGGTGCCTTGTAATTTGATGGGAAATTAGCTGTTGATTAATTTAAAGAAAAATGTACATGTTTCTAGATATGCTTAAGGATATAATTTACAGCTAACTACAACATGCTGTAGGACTCTTAATGATTTACATTCTGTATAAAATCCTGTTTTGGAACATGAATGTGTTAGAATATTTCAGCTGTTTTAAGGATTTGAAGGATTTCTTCAGGTATCTCCAGTGATTGAAAAATAGTCTGAGGGAAGGAAAGCAGAATGGACCACAAAGATTTGTGGAAGTGACAAATGGAAAGTGTATGGAAGTTCTGACAGTGTTCAGGATGAACTCTTCTCCCACAATAGCTGTTGGGAGCTGCACAATTGGCTCCCATAAAAGGTGGATTGGAAGTTTTTTGAAAACCTCTGTTGGTAGCTGAACCTTTTCCTGACAGTCCTGAGAGAAGTTCCTCTCAAAACTCCTGAGATTTTTGCTTTGGTGAGGCCTCAAAGGGAACAGAAATGCCGTGAAGGTGGCATGGCTAGCTCCCAGGAAGCTCATTTTGGGGTGCTTGACAAAGTAACCTCCTTCCTGGGCCCATGGTGGCAAAATCACTTGTAAAATGCCACGTTTTTGCTTCAGATGCTGCACTGAGGACTGACGTAAGTGGATCCATCAGGAAGCTCCTGACACTGGCCTCTGTATTTCAGGCATCAGCGGGTACCGTGTGACCACTGCTCCCACAGATGGGCAGCAGGGCTCTACCCTGGAGGAGGTGGTGGGTGCAGATCAGACCACCTGCACCTTTGAGAACCTCAACCCTGGTGTGGAGTACAACGTCAGTGTCTACTCCGTCAAGGATGACCAGGAGAGTGTGCCCATCTCAGAAACCATCACACCAGGTAACGAAAGGATGAGCAGCAATTTCAGCTGCCCAAGCTCAAATGCCTGAGCCTGAGAGCTCTACAATGCAGAACTTGTTTTAGTCTGCTGGTAGAGGGCTTGGACTTCACATTTAGTCTCAAGAAGCAGAATAGGCACCTTCCAACCTGTGAAAGAACTTCTTACACCCATGTACTTCTCTGCATGGGCAGCCTGTGTTGTGCTTCACAGGCTGGTGTCAGTACATGGAATCTGCTCTGTCAGTACACTGAGCTGGGCAGCAGCAGGGATTTAACTTAGCCCCGAAGTGCCCCAGCATCTGGAGCACAGCTGGTGGGAACAGGAAGTAGGTGAACAGAGGTATGAGTGGGAAGCGAGCGTAGGAGAAATTCTGGCAGCACTAGTGGCAGAAGATCACTTGAGCACAATGGAGGGGAAAGCCAAGATGGAAAGGTCCATCACTGTGGCACTTGAGGCACAGTGTGGTGTGTGCCATCTCACATGACATCTGTGGGGACTGCAGAAACTGCCTTTGTAGCCACAGTAGCAAAATCAATATGCATTTCCCCAAACAGTTGCATTTAGTTTTCCTTTGTGAGGGCTTCGTTTGTTTTTGTTTCTGCTCTGAGATGATGCCAGCTACTGTGTTTGCTTGCTCTTGTAACACTGCTTTAAAATTTCTGTGCTTCACTGAAGTGCTGTGTGCTCCCTGGGGTGAACTAATACTGTGATGCTGCATAGTTATGCAGTAACAGCTTTAGCCCTTCACCATCTTCTGGTGGGGCAAAGCTGAGAATGTATGTGTCTGGCTTTTACAACTCTTTAGAGGTGATATGGTACATGCATTCCATGTGGATAAACAATTGCTTTACAGAAAATTGGCTTCTTTTTTTTTTGCACCTATTCTGTAAAATAAGTGTTTTCCAAGAAGGACATCAAAATAGAACCAAAACCACTATTATTAAAGCAATATTTCTGTCCCATAATTTCTTTTCAAACTAACTTGTAATGAACAGAATGGACACAGAGTCCTGCATCTTTGACTCACTGATGTCTGATCCTGAGTGAGGAAGAGCATCCATTAGTTCCCACTGGTTTCAGGATCACCCTGATAAAGTTACACAGCCAAATCTTGTGGCTTAAGTCAATGCTCAGTTTATTGACTTGAGCAACTGAAAGTTTGGACATTGTCAATTAAAGATGCATCTAAAGTTCCCCATTTCCTGCCCAATTCTGCTGGTCCTAACATATAGGAAATGAGCACCTTTGCTATTAGAATAATATCAGTAGGGAAAACAGTCACAGCTGGGCTTATTTTCCCTACAGAAATTTAGGCAGCATCTAAAAGGTCATTAAAGAGCATTCTTATTCAGAGGCTAAAATTTGAGATTTTGAACAATTTTATCCACATATGTCAGGCTCTTGGCCACACCATATGCTGGGCATAACCTCTGAATTTGGGGATGTTGTCACTCTGACAAAATTAATACAATCTAAAGGTGATTTTTTAACCGTTTCCATGGAAGTGTTCTGTTACTTACTGTTTCACATCATCTGTTTTTAGCACATAAATTGCAGCAGTTAGTTGGTAAGTAGAAGTTGAGGAATTCTGGGCCAGATCCTCAAGCCACTGCAGGGGTTTGAGGCTTTTTTCCAAGTGCAGCGTAAATAGTTCAGAAAGTGGATGATCTACCCTGGAACTTTGTGAAGTTTCTCACCAGCTGAGGGTCTGATTTAGCCTCTTCAAGTGAGTTGATATTTTTATGATCCCGATGTTAAGTTAGATTCACCATTTGAGCAAAACAAGAATTTTAGAGGGTCAGTCAACAGAGCTGTTGTTTTATTTACACTTTAGTAAACTTTGTTCTCTTGTAATTTACCTGTAGAAAGAAAAAAGGGCTTTTTTCTGCTTCTGTTTTTGTCAGAAAATGATGGGTCTTTGTGGCTTATCATTGCTCAAAGTAAATTTGTTGCAAGTTAAGTGCCTTTTGAAGGGCTCTTTGAAAATTACATGTCTAAAGAGAATTGGGGGTTTCAGCTTCTGAGGGGATCTGGGTTTCAGTTTCTGTCTGCCCAGGGAAGCAGCTGGAGACCACATTGAAGGGTAAATATAAGAAAACAAACTGAAAACAACAAAAGCAAAAACACAACAAAAACCACCCCACCAAAATCCTTCCTTTCCCCCCAAACCCCAAGAGAAATTGTGCATATCACCGCAATTGCTTCCCGAGTTCTGTCGATGTTAATAGTGACGAACACTGCTTTTTTCTCCCTTGTCTTTCTTTTGCCTCCGTGTGTCTCTGCCTCTCCCATTTGCTCTTTGCCTCATTAGAGGTGCCCCAGCTCACTGACCTAAGCTTTGTTGACATAACTGACTCGAGCATCGGCCTGAGGTGGACCCCGTTAAATGCCTCCGCCATTATTGGGTACCGCATCACAGTAGTTGCGGCAGGAGAAAGTGTCCCTATTTTTGAAGATTTTGTGGACTCCTCAGTAGGATACTACACAGTGACAGGCTTGGAGCCGGGCATTGATTACGACATCAGTGTAATCACACTCATTAATGGCGGAGAGAGCGCCCCTACCACTCTGACACAGCAAACGGGTGAATTTTGAAAACTTCTGTGTTTCGTGACGTGGACGGTGTCACTGGCTGTCACTGGCTGTCGGGGTGCTGGGGCTTTGTCCAAAGAGGAATTGAGCTGCTTGCTGCGGGGAAGCCAGGCAGACCCAGCTGGGGATGGATATGGTGCTGCTCCTTTTTGAATTGGAGGCATTTTAATACCATGAATGACTGCAGACTTGCCAGGCTCATTCACCTTCTGCTGCTCAGATTTCCAGGATCCAGTTGGAATCAAGAGCCTGAAACATGAGCTGTGTGTTTGCCAGACTTTAAAACTGTGATTCCTCAAAATCAAAAAAAAAAAAAAGAGTGCTGAAGGGTGGAGCAGATCAGTAGACACCCTCCAGCCCTGACAGCTGTTTGAGCTTCCAGCAGCCCATTTCCATGGTGGCCCCACTCTTTCCACAATGCCCCAGAGGATGCAGATGGACACCACTCCCTGAGTACATGCCAGTGACAGCCATGCCACACCGTCAAGGGTTTCTATAGTGCATGAGCTGAAGGCAAGCTGGAAACTGGTTCTTGCATGAAATCCTGTTGTGTTTGAAAGTCCTGAGGCTGTAAATCCTTCGACGTGAGTAGAAGTAGAGTCATAGGAAATTAGTGATATACCCTCTCCTCTCCTGTGTATGCATGTATGGATTCTGGATGAGATTACTTTTCCATCTGTAAGCTGCTGTATGGCAACTTTAAACCTCTCTTGGCACCACATCTGTAATACAAAATCCAGCTGCTAGAAGCACATTAGTGAAACTTGCTACCTTGTTTTTAAATTAGCCCTGTGGGGTACATTTAACATACCAGGAATTGCCAAGAGGTTAAAGCAGCCTGACAGCAGTGCAGACACATTTTTCTCTTAACTGTAGCAGAACCAAATGTAGTTTAGAAGTCTGTTTGCATGAGTCTGATGCCGTAGTCAGTTGTGCATGAGATACTTTCTCTGGTGATTGATTCCCTGAACAGACCTCATGATCAATATGAGTCTGAGCGCTGAGGTGGGTTTGTTCTTTGCTGTGTAGCTGTGCCTCCTCCCACTGACCTGCGCTTCACTAACGTGGGGCCTGACACCATGAGGGTGACTTGGACTGCCCCGACTTCCATCGTGCTGAGCGGTTTCCTGGTGCGCTACTCCCCCGCCAAGAAGGAGGAAGATGTTGCAGAGGTGACAGTCTCACCCTCAGACAACATGGTGATCCTAACAAGTAAGTGGGTTACCTGCATAAATTAAACAAACACGAGAAGCCCCTCATCATAAAATCATAAGATTACTAAGAGAAAAGACCTCCAAGGTTGTTGAGTCATCAACCCAGCACCACCATATTCACCACCAAGCCACATCCCCATGTGCCAATGCACACATCCCCTGAGCACTTCCAGGGATAGTGACTCCACTCCTGACCAACCTTTCAGTGAAGAAATTTTTCCTGATATCCAACCTCAATGTCCCCTAGTGCAGCTTGAGGTCTTGTCTTTTCACTTGTTACCTGGGAGAAAAGACTGCCCCCCACCTTGCTACAGCCTCCTTTCAGGTAGTTGTAGAGGGTGAGAAGGTCCATGTGACACAAGATGAGGCAAAAAACCCATGTTTAACTGTGGCTGGCCAAATTCTCAGCTGATCTAAAGTGATGTTGCAAGTAGCTTCATAGAAACTCACACCAAATGGAGTTTGGCCTCTAGCTTTACCCATGTTAAAGCCAAACCACAGGCAAGTTTTTTTCCTGTTAATCCAAGGACAGTGATGAATCAGGCTATGAGGCAATTGCAGTGATTTGCAGCCAGGTTAGGTATTAACAGTAAATACATGTTGTTCACCTGGTTTGCCAGTAATGTCAAGGACTTGTAGTGCAGAGGTTCAGGAGAAGATCAGAATATGCAAAAGGTCATTGCTCCTTTGACTTTGTATGCTCAGACCAGAAAGCACATCCTGTTTTGGAACCTTACAGGACATGGCAGCAAAATGTGGGCTGCCATTTTCCAAAAGCTGACATTAATTTTTGGGGCAAAAGCTGTGTTATATTTATAGTTGGATTTTTTTTTTTCCTCTGAGAATCTGGTTGGTTAAGTGAGAGACAAGACCTGTTTTCAGAATAAAACCTAAATCTAGAGCTTGTCTGAGTTAGAACAGCTGTGTTGGATTTCAGTTTATATCAGCTAAAGCTTCGGCCTGGTGCATGGATAAACTAGTAGATAACTAGAATGGACCCGGTAAAAAGGTAATTGCTTCTAGTCAATCTCCACAACCTGATGAAGCAATGACCTAGCATATTGTGCTTCTTCAGGCTAAAGCACTGCAAGAAATTATAATGCCACAAAAATAACTCATTTAAACTTTTGATTGTCCTGGAGGCTCGGATCTTCCATCAAGCAAAACCTGATTGTCTCCTAAGAAACACAGTTAAAATTGTGTAGGTTGATTAACTTCTTGATGTTAGCAAAGAAACAGTAGCCCAACCAAATTCCTGTTCTTCAATTCCACAGACCTGCTCCCTGGCACTGAATATCTGGTGAGAGTCTACAGCGTTTCTGAGCAGCATGAGAGCGCACCTTTGTACGGAATCCAGAAAACAGGTACTTGGATGCACATGTGGCTCATACCATCCTTTAAGAATTCATTAGTGGGACTGAATTACTTTTTTTTTTTTTCCTGTGATGATGCCAAGCAGTTTGGTTGAGCTCACCCTTGTGTCTCTTGAAACACCCAGGCCTTGATTCCCCCACTGGCCTGGACTTCTCGGATATAACAGCGAACTCCTTCACCGTGCACTGGATCGCTCCTCGCGCCACCATCACGGGCTACAGGATCCGCTACCAGCCCGAGCAGGGCGGGGGCCGGCCCAAGGAGGAGCGTGTGCCCCCCTCCAGGAACTCCATCACCCTCACCAACCTGCTGCCAGGCACCGAGTACGTGGTCAGCATCATCGCTGTCAACGGCAGGGAGGAGAGCCTGCCCTTGGTTGGCCAGCAGACAACAGGTGAGCCTGGAGGGAGTGCTGGATTTGGAGTGTCCTCTAGCAACGTCGTTGCTCTTAAACGTCTCCCCTTGCCAGCTTCACTCATGAGGAAATGCCTGTGTACTGAGGTAGGGCCTGATTTAGGAAAAGGTGGGAGGATCTGTGCTGCTTTCAGATGTTTCTAGGGCCAGCAGAACAATTTTCATTAAATCCAGTCCAGTGCCATATGGTTTTTAACCAGACACATCTCTTTGGGGAGGAGTGTGCTCTGAGCCAAAGGACAGACACATCAGTAGCAGAGGAGCACGGTGTAAGTGGAGTATGTAGCTGATGTACAACTGTGTTTAAATTCCTTCTTAATTCTCTGTTTTTCTAGTATCTGATGTTCCAAGGGACCTGGAAGTCACCCCTACCAGCCCAACCAGCCTCAGGATTTCCTGGGATGCTCCTGCAGTGACAGTCAGATACTACAGGATCACTTATGGTGAAACAGGTAAGGGCAGGCTGCCTACAGCTGGTCACAGACCAGAAACTCTGTTCTGAGGCTATTAGAAAGAAAATAGTAAAGGCACCTTGGGCTGTAGCAGACATATAGGTGCCTTTTTTAAAAAAGAGCAAATAATATTTTGTCTACCCAAAAGAAAGAGTATCTAGGGTATTCCAGTAATTTTAGAAGTGGTTCTATGTACATGTTTCATTCTTTTCCTCAAAACAATTTTGACCCAACAGCCACTGAAATCAACAGGGTCCTGTCTTCAGTTTGATGCATGTAGGCCTGTCCTGTTTTTTGTAGAGATTTTAAATGTATGCTTTACAGGTCCATCACATTTCTTTCTTAACCTACTCTTGCTAGGTGGAAGCAGCCCAGTACAGGAGTTCACAGTGCCTGGCACCGTGTCTACTGCCACCATCACTGGCATCAAGCCTGGTGTTGAGTACACCATCACTGTGTATGCTGTAACTGGCCGTGGAGACAGCCCTGCCAGCAGCAAGCCAGTCACTGTCACCTACAGGACAGGTGAGACCTGATGGAACCAAACAAGGCAAAAACCCCGCAGCTTTGTGTTGGCTTTTCCCCATGAATGTATATTGCTGATCCCCGGGTTCTTTTAGAAGCCATGGGCTGTAGGGCCATCTATTTCTGGAGTGATGTATCTTGATGGCACAGGAGGAGTCTGTGGACTTGGAGAAGGGAAACCCTGTGGAGTCCAGATGGGGATAAAAGCAGTGCTCAGCTGCTCACTGCAGAGTGGAAATCCTGTTGGGCTCTCATAATGTGGGGTCACTGCTGGCTTAACTCCAGAGCTTCACCGTCAGATTGTGATCCTGAGGAGACCTAACTTTCCAATGCCAAGACTGTTACTTCACTCCTGATTTGGATATAGCCAAATCCTACTCCTTCTGTAGCTTCAGGTAAAGGCATTAAGTAGCCTTTAAAACAACAAAAATCCTCAACTAACATTGATATGAGATCACTGATCATCATGGTTAAGGCTTTTTTGCTTTGGGCTAGCATGAGAGACAAATAGATAGCAACATGTGTTTTGTCTTCCAAGCAGTGCAGAATAAAATTCAGCCAGGACACAAAAGTGGAGGGAGGGTTTCCTGTACCAACATACTCAGAAAAATGATTTTTGTTGCCCAGAAATAGACACACCGTCCCAGATGCAAGTCACTGATGTCCAGGACAACAGTATCAGCATCAGATGGCTCCCTTCAACATCCCCAGTCACGGGGTATCGGGTGACTGCTGTCCCCAAGAACGGACATGGGCCCTCAAAAACGAAAAATGTCCCCGCAGGTAAGAGTCGTGTCATCCTTCACTGGATTTGTAAAGAATGCAAGATGTGACCACTAGAATCCTGCTGCTGCTTGTACCCTTTTTTGCATCTTGCTGATTTTCAGTTCTGTCTCATCCAGGACAGATGAGCTCAGGCAGATTTTTGTCCCAAAAGCTTCATATTTCTTTGACACCACTGAACTGCAGGAGTTTGTTCTTGACAGCCTCAGTGTGCATGAAAAGCACCTGCATTTCAAAGAAATACCATTGGATTTTCTAGCATCCAGCAAAACTTGCTCTGAAATCCTTCTGGAAGTCATGTAATATGACCCCTGGTTACAGGGTCATGTTCAGCATAGGTTCAGTCACACTACAGGTTTGTAGTGTAGTACCTGTGGAACCTGCCATGTCAGCTCTTAGGAAAACTGCATGTTGTGGGATCAACAGAGCACTTGGGGATGCTTGTGAAGCAGCTGAGCTGATGGTCAGTCTTATCCTAAAAAATGATGAAAGCTGTTCTCCCTGTACCTAGTTCTACCCGCTGTGCTAACCTGTCCTTTCAGCTGTGGAGCACTGGAGCAGGTACAAAAGGCAGTTGTGCACTGCCAGAGAAGCATGATACAACTTAAAGGCAAATTTAATTTGTCAGTCCCACCTTGTTTTAATAACATTTATTCATGGTGTGGCTTAGACAGGCCATTCATTCAAGGCTACTTTGAGGCCAGCTCTCTGCAGCTTTGCGCTGCTCTTTCTGACTGTTGGTTTTCTTTCCTGCCAGATCAAACTCAAGTCACTATTGAAGGTCTGCAGCCCACAGTGGAGTATGTGGTCAGTGTCATTGCTCAGAATCAGAATGGGGAGAGCCAGCCCTTGGTTGAGACAGCTGTCACCAGTACGTATTTCACTTCATGGGAACAAACACGTGTTTTCTATTGATCTCTGAACCTACCACCACATTCCCAGGGAAAGCAAAAGCCAGGGGCCTGGTCTCCAGGAGAGTGTGAGGTCGTCTGCCCTGTGAGAAGTACCGTGCACCTAAGCTGCAGATGCTGGCAAAAATGCAGTCCCCCTGCCTCAAACACTGCCAAAATGCAATTTCCTGCCCCCTCAAAGTGCTGTGCTTCTTATTTTCTTTCACTAAAGCTACAAAGTCTCTTGGGGTTTCCATCAACCAATTGGGTTTGCCATCAACCAATCAGTGGATAAAATGTGCCAAGATCTCCTTTGTGTGGAGCTAGGTGGCAAAGGTGATTGCTGTTAAGGGGCTGGACTGGGCTTGGGAGCACTTGCCCTGTGTGAGGGAGTAAGGGAAACCACATGGGTTAAACCACATGGGTTGTACCAAGAACTTGGGATGAAACACTGAAAAAAAAAATAAATTCCAGGACTGAGGTGCTGTGTAGAAAACAGCAGTTGTGCTCAGGTCACAGGAGGGACAGAAGAGGGACCTTGTAACTCAGGGATACGTTTGAGGTAAAGTGTTTTTGAGGGATGCCTCTGGGGTAGGGATTTGTGTGATTCTTACTTCCCTGCTCAAGCTTGTATTCAAAACCATGACTCAACCCCAAACACTGCAGACAACAGGAGCTTCCCCAGAGCTTTGCAGAAATGAGTGAAGAGTGCATATTCAAACCAACAAATTCCTGGACAAAAATCACCTTTGCCAGCTAGAAAGTGTAGAAAAATGAGGACTAATATAACATGGCAAATGAAAAAGATGAAACTTTGTAGAAAAGCATGGGTTTGATCCAATATAAAAATTACATGCTAAATCCTCCCATTTTGTGTAGCAGATGGGTGTATTTCTGTGATAGCCACTCCAGATTTCTGAGGAACAAGGCTCACTTCCCCTGCTCTGAGCTCCCACCTTGCCAGGAAATCCTGTGAATTGGTTTAATTGGGAGGTGTGCATATCACCCAGTTGCACCTGCAGACATTCCGTGTGCACTCAATACAAAGCTGAAAAGTTTGTTTCTAACTGATTTTGCAATGTAATATGCTGAGTAATTTTGCTTTCTTGATGAATATGTTAATTGGATATTAATTTATGAAAGAAAATAGCGGGATGGATTCTCCTTGGACTGGCACTTAGCACAGCAGCTCACAGTGGTGAGCAGCAAGCGCAGCATGAACCCAAACTTGCAGAGCCAGGTGTGTTCTTTGGCACCAGCAACCATTTTTACATGGGAGAAATGGGTCTTAGCATTCCCATTTCTTCTTGTCCACTTTTAAGGTAGCTTAATGCTACTGGAGTTGTGTGAAAGAGGTTTTGGTGCCAAGGGGAATCAAAAATAGTGAGAATTTGTGTTCTGGCTGCTTTGAAGATGGCAATGCAGGTCCTTTTGGTTTCAGCAAAGCCAAGATTGCTTTCCTGCTGCCTGGCACCTCCAAACTCAGGCTTAGGGATGTAAGCATGTGTGCAAGGTGCAGCACAGAGGAGAATCCAGTGCCCCCCTTGCCACACCAAACTGAAAACCGCTTTGCATGTAATCGAAATGCTTTTTATTTTCCTCACCCACAACCTGCTTTTTATCACTTAACCTCTTACCGTTAATTTGCCTAACAGACATTGACCGCCCTAAAGGACTAACATTCACTGAGGTGGATGTTGATTCCATCAAAATTGCTTGGGAAAGCCCTCAGGGGCAAGTCACCAGGTACAGGGTGACCTACTCAAGCCCTGAGGATGGAATCCATGAGCTATTGCCGGCCCCAGGTGGCGAAGAAGACACTGCTGAGCTGCATGGCCTCAGGCCAGGTTCTGAGTACACTATCAATATCGTTGCCATTTACGATGACATGGAGAGCCTGCCCCTCACTGGGACCCAGTCCACAGGTACAGCTCCCACCACCCCCAGCAGGCCATGGCAGCAGCGAGGGGTGAAGTGTGCTTCCATGTGCTCCGTGCGGGGCAGCCCAGGGGATGGGATTGCTCCTGAGGGATGGCTTAGCTGGGGCCAGAGAGCTGCCTGGAGCAGAGTCAGCCTGCATACACATCAGGGAAGGCAGGCAGGAGAGCAGGATTGCAGATCCTAGAGAAAGGAGGGAGGGTGTCAGTGGTGTCCTGTCCCTGGTCACGGAGCCTGATCCATGGTGAGCACTCTCACAATGCTCTTGTGCTCCCTTCAGGGTATGGGACCAGGTGGTGACCAGCAAGAGAGATGAGGGCAGCTTTCATGCCCCAGGGGCCTTGCTGTTGGAGCCAAAGATCAGCAGGAAGGGCTGGCAGATTGCTGAACCCTCAGAGCCTGCAGATCCCTCACTGGCACTGCCCTAGGGACCACAGCCCACTGCATGCCCACACCCTGCACCCTCATCACCTCCACAGGAGAGTCCCTTCTGTGCCAGGCTGATCCAGCTGCAATTCCATGCCTTGAAAATTCCTTGATGAGAAAGAAAAATTATTGCAAGGCATTAGCTTGATGTTGCTTCCAGCAATATGGAATCTGTCGCAGGCTTCCAGCATTACCAGATGTGACTTTATTACAAAGACAGGTAGCACCTGTGTAATAAAGATCTCCCATTCATTTGTGGCTGAAAAGTTGGCACTTTAATTCCAGGGGTGGAATGAATTCAGTGGGTCCTAGTGTTCAGATCTGCTGTGCTAAACTGAAGCAAAGTGATGTAATGATGGGACAGCTGGCTGACTATCTGCCAGAAAGGCAAATATAATACTTTTTCAAACACACCCTCTGTGGTTTACCTTCTGAGGGCTGTTCAAAAGTGGATTTGAAGTATTCAAGACTTTCCATTGACTCTCATGGACTGTAGATTGAGCTCTGAGCTAAGCCTAAGAAGGAAGAGTTATCCTGTATTTCCACTTTGTAAAACTGGAAAGCATTGAGAGCAAAGTGCCATAGTGGGCACTATGGTAAGGTATGTCTTTGTTTTGTTTACAGCCCCAGGCTTATCAAAAGTGAGGCAAGAGAATATTTCAATGGGCACTCCTTTTTTTAGGCAGGCATTTGTTTGTAAGGATAGTGGATCTGTTAGCTCCTGAACAGGCTCTTGTGTGATGAGTCTTATGGCCACCACAGCTCCGCTTTTCCATTGCCTTGCTCGCTGTGTAAGTGGCTGTAAAATGCTTCCCCTCTCCATTTGCGGTATTTTTATATCTTCTCTGCAATTCCTGAGCCTGCTTCCTACTTACTTTTGTAAATCATCCGTTGTATTTTGGAAATTAACAGACCGGGGCAAGTGGAGCAGGACTAAGCTGTGAGCTGTGTGATGAAAAGCAGAGACTGGTAGAATAATCAAAACAGGCTGGCCTGCTGGAGATTTAGCACCTTCCCAAGCCTTTATCTTATATCACAACAAATGTCATTGCTCACTTAATTTCAGGGTTGAAGCATTGATATCTCCTTATTTCTGCTGAGAAGTGTTTCTGTAGATTTGAGAATCTCCTCCTGAACAATATTTGCCCTCCCAGGGTGCTTTATGCCTGTGTTTGCACAAGGCACTCCACTTTCCTGGCCTAAACCTGTCTCAAGTTCAGGAGAGAATACTGTCTTACCCAACTGTCTTTTTTTAAAGTAACCATGTGCCTGTCTGGATTTTTGCAGCAATTCCACCTCCAACAAACCTGAAGTTTACTCAGGTAACTCCCACCAGTCTCACCATCAACTGGAATGCACCCAACGTTCGCCTCACTGGCTACAGAGTCAGAGTGAACCCCAAGGAAAAGACTGGTCCTATGAAAGAAATCAACCTTTCTCCAGACAGCACATCTGCAGTCGTGTCTGGCTTGATGGTAACTTTTTTCTTTGTATTGTGGGAAGTAGATTTTTGAAGAAATTTCAGATTCCCGTGTCAGGAGCTTCAGTTGGAGTAGATCATTGCAGCTCCTAAGGGTCTGGCTCTGAAACTCATCATGGCAAGTCAGCCTGCAGCTACTCAGCAGTGTAGTTTTTTTTAAAAGGCAAGTAATTGGCCTGCTGAAGCTGCATTCTACCCCCTTCCTCATCTAGCACAGAGAGACTGGATGCCTAATCAAATGCAAATTACCAGGTTCACAATCAAGAGTAACCCAGCAAAATGCTTTTACTCATCTTTCACAAAAGAGGTCAGATAAAGTGATCTAACGCAAAGATTTCAAGCTGTGATATGGGAGCTCTGGCAGTCTATTGCCCATTTTTAAGACATCTGCAAAATGTAAGTTAAAAATACAAGTCTTTTGTGAGTAGGCTTAAATTTGCTATATAGCCGTCTTCTCCACTGGAAGCATTTCAGGAGTTCCTGAACTGGAGAAGGCTGAAAATAACTGCTTTTATGGTTCCTGCAATCCTAAAAAGCTACTGATCTGTTTTTAAGGAGTTTTATGAATAATTTTCAAAAATGAGCCTTAAAAAACATTCTCATCTAAATGGACCCACGGTCTGATGCAGCCAAGGACAAACCCCCCTCCCCCCCATGCTGTTACATTCACAATTATCTTTTATTCACATTATTTTATTCTTTATCATAGCAAATGGCATCCATTAACCCTGGGAAAAATAGGAGAGAAATTAGAGTTTCTCTGAAGAATCAGCTTTGAAGCACAGATTTTAAAATGAGGGGTGATAAATAAGCTTCTTCCAGGATTTCTTCTGCTCCTGAGTGTGGCCGTGTGTCAGGGTCTGTGCCTACTCTTTTATTCTGGCTGGAAATAATTAGAATTATCCCATCAGTCCTTCCCCAATTTATTTCAAGTTTTCATATTTCAATAAGTGGTGACTGAGAAATGTGGCTCCACCAAACACTGACTTGAGGGCAGGAGTATTTCCCCCTGGGCCGGGTCCTTCTCTTAATGTGGTACAACTCTGTCCATTCTAGGTAGCAACCAAGTATGAAGTGAGTGTGTATGCCCTGAAGGACTCCCTGACCAGCAGACCAGCCCAGGGGGTGGTCACAACACTTGAAAGTAAGTGGTGAACATCCCCAAATGTCCACTTAGTGCTGTGTGGGTGCAGAGGCTGGGAGCTCTGACCAAATCCCCATCCCAGGCTGCACCAACCCTTGGCTGGTAAGCTTGCCAGTCCCCACTGTACTGAGAGGACCCTTTCCCTTGTGTGCAGATGTGAGTCCCCCTCGCAGGCCCCGGGTGACAGATGTCACCGAGACAACCATCACCATCACCTGGAGGACCAAGACTGAGACCATCACTGGCTTCCTGGTGGAAGCTGTCCCTGCAGGCGGCCAGAGCCCCATCCAGAGGACCATCAGCCCTGAGCTCAGGAGTTACACTATCACTGGTAAGTGAGGGCTTCTGCAGTTCCAGGGTCGTATCAGAAAGTACACTGGGTTCTTGTTTTGGAATTTAATATCCTTGATGAGAAATACTATAGGAACAAAAGATGGGAAAAATACCTGAGGCATCAAGACTAGACTCCATGAAGAGGTTATTGAAAGACCTTCTGATGACCATCTTAGGTGGCTTCCTCTCCTTAGCTAACATTTGTGTTTCATCTTCATTTTAGGCTTGCAGCCTGGCACTGACTACAAGATCTACCTGTACACTCTGAACGAGAACGCACGCAGCTCCCCCGTGGTACTGGATGCCTCCACTGGTAATGATCTTGTCTGACCTTTTTGCTCATGTTAACACACAGCAATCACATATGGCCAGTTAGGAGTTGTCTGTATCTGATCACATTTAGTATTCCCTGTGACTTACAGGGTGTCAAGCAGGTGTAGCTCAGGTGAACAATATCCTGGTTTTTTCTGCATTTGACTTGTTAAACCCTTTTGTTTCCACCCAGCTATCGATGCTCCTTCTAACCTACGCTTCCTTACAACCACGAGCAACTCCCTGCTGGCCACCTGGCAGCCTCCCCGAGCCAAGATCACGGGCTACGTCATCAGATATGAGAAACCTGGCTCACCAGTCAGGGAGGTCTTGCCTCGGCCCCGGCCCGGCACCACCGAGGCTACCATTACTGGTAACTCTGTTTTGTCTGGGAGCTCTTCACCTGAAACACTTGAGTTTCAAGAGAGGGAGGGGGAAGGCCTAATTATACTGATGATTAGCTAATAGGCAGAAAATTGTGTTCCTTTATTGTGGTTTCCAGTACAGGAGAGTGCTCTTGTAAGCACAGCTGTCCTACGAACACATTGCACTTCACTGATCAGAACAACCACCACATTTGAACAGTCTGGTGCTTGTTTCCACTGTCAACACAATTGTTGTCCTTTCAAGGAAGAAAAGCCCCTGATTCTGGCACCCACCAGTTACATGTGCTAAAGATCCCTTATGTTTGTGTCCATGATCCCAGCTGACATGGTCAGACTGCAAACTTGCTCTGAGGAGCAGGAGGCTGAACTCTGTGCACTGTCCTGAAAACCTCGGGTGTGAAATGCACCTACCCAATGTAGCCATACCCACCTCTCATTCTGCCTCAGTTCTCACACATAATCATAAAAGAAAAGCAACTCATGAGTCTAAAATTGCCCTTCCTCCCTCCCTAGGTTTGGAACCTGGCACTGAATACATCATCTACATCATTGCTGTGAAGAACAGTCAGAAGAGTGAACCACTGGTTGGCAGAAAAAGGACAGGTAAAACAAAGCTCTGGACTGTTGGGTGCCAGCAGGAGAGAGCTTCCACTTGGGGAATACAGAGTGAAAGACATTGAAGGACACTTGTGGAGGACTGAAATAATAATGTTTTTAAAAATATCCCATTCACACACACTTTTTCTTTGAGTCAAATAGGCTTTGTAAAGAGGTTTTCCTTTCTAAGGATGCAGGAGGTACACTTCTAAATTCATTTTAATAACACCCATGTTTGAACACTAGCAGCAGAACAGCATGCATGATGCTGGATTCTTGCTTGGGTACCTAATGGATAATCAAATCAGGGTTAACATGATTGTCTAACACTTGATGGTGTCAAATGCAGAATCCATTCAGTTTGTTGCTTGTTGCATTCCTCTTACTTTGCAACTTTCACAGTACAAGATTGACCTATAGCAAGTGAAATACCAGCTGAACATCCACATATGATCAAGGAGCCAGTTTCTTCCTGCTCACCAGTGATTCCTCTTAAAATGATAACCTGCAACTATCTCTTGTAATCATTCCTTCTCAGTTTGAGCAGTGGTGGTGGCTTCTTTGGGTTGCAGTGTTCAAAAGTGTCGCTCAGCTGTATGAAAATTTCATACCAACACACTTCTTATGGCTATGTGTGAAAGATACAGAGAGTGAAATTACCTTTACAGTCAGTGCAAGGTCATAAAAAGTGTGTTGCATCTCGGGGTAATTGCTAATATTTGATGCTTGGAGTGGCGTAATGCAGCTGTTTGATTAGCCATTGTTGCTTTGCTTGATGGCCTCTAACCTTTCTTTGGCCAGATGAGCTCCCCACGCTGATCAGCAGACCACACCCCAACCAGCCCGACATCCTGGACGTGCCTTCCATTGACGAGGGGACCCCTTACCTCACGAACAACAGGTATGACAATGGCAACGGTATCCAACTTCCAGGCTCCTCTGGCCACCCCCAGACAGTGGGACACCAGGGACAGCAAGTCTTCTTCGAGGAGCACGGCTACAGGCGGCCGGGACCCACCACGGCCACTCCCCTCAGGCCGGGCTCCAGGCAGCCGCTGCCCAGCGTGGACGAGGCCATCGAGATCCCGGGCTACCAGGTGCCCATCGTGGTGGAGCCCTCGTACCCGCACTCGCGCGGGCCCCGGCGCAACGACAGCGCGGGCCAGGAGGCCCTGTCCCAGACCACCATCTCCTGGAGGCCGCTGCTGGAGAGCTCCGAGTACATCATCTCCTGCCAGCCCGTCAGCCAGGACGAGGACACCCTGCAGGTAACGGGGTGGTGAAGCCTCACCTGGGTCTCTCGGGGCCACAGTGCCTTTGCTGTGCTGAGGGAGTGGCAGGAATTAGCCTTAGGAGTCTGTTTAACACGTAGCTGAGACCAGGGTGGATGAAAGCCTCCTCATCTCCTTTATGGAAAAGGCTACGGGATAAAATTGCAAAACCAGAAAACTTGGAAATGCTGTCAGCAGTGATGTTTCACCAGGGAAGGGGGCAGCAAGCTGAAAGGGAGTTCCAGAGATTGAGGTGCTGCTTCTCCAAGCTACAGCACTCTTCCTATGAAGTCTCCCTTGGTTTCCTTGAAATGGCAAAACGAACCCCTTGTGGTTGATAGTCCAGAGTAGCCAAGTCTAATTTGGTGTTGTTTGAAGTTCTCTGAGCATCTAAGGGGAGTGGTCTGGCTCCATTGTGGTACAGAGCATAGGGGTCATCCTAAACACCCTGTCTGCTATGAGAGAGGTAACACCGAAAGGCTATTCCCTCCCACCTTTCTGGTGACCTGGCATTGTCTCTTGTTGCAGTTCAGGGTTCCTGGCACTTCCTCTAGTGCCACACTCAAGGGTCTCACAAGAGGGGCCACCTACAACATCATAGTGGAAGCCCTGAAGGACCACCGGAGACAGAAGGTGCTGGAGGAGGTGGTCACAGTTGGCAATACTGGTAAGGAACAGCCTTAGGGAGCCTGGCTGAACCTGTGCAGCCCCTGCCTCATTCCCCTTACTCAGGGCCACCTGCCTGGTGCCCAAGCTTGACAAAAGTTCAGAAAGGAAACTTCTGACAAGGACAGTTCATAGCAGGACACTGGGACAAGTGATTTGTGAGATTTGTGGTTTTGGATAACTGACACACACTGATGGTGGGATGAGAGCTGTCCTGAGCTGCTGTGCAAGCACAGAGAGTGTGCTTTGAGGCTGCAGACACACCCCAAGGCAGATCTGGTATTTGCTGTGCTTAAAGGGAGTCTTGTATCTGTCACAGACTGGACCATCAGCTCTTGACCCTGATCATCACACCTGAACTGGTGGTGGTAAAGCACCCACCAGCCAAGGCACACACCTAACGTGACCAATCACTGCCCAACCACAGGGTCTGCTCTCCTTCTCCCTTCCCCCTGCCATGACACAGAACCTGCAGCACCCCAAAAAGGTGCACATGGAGCTACCACCCCCCTGCTGTTCCTCAGCATCTTGCATCACATTTTCTCCTAAAGACAGGCAAGAGTCAGGTTGTTGCTCACCAGCAGCAAATGCAGAAACTCATACTTGCTTCCAACTTGGCAAATGAAAATGAAAATAGCCTTCATGTCAGTTTTTTTATCGTTCAACTGCTCTGACACATGCAAATGGAAAATAAATCACAGGGAGCTGGGCTGCTGACAACCATCAAGTACATGCCCATAGGGTAGCTCCATTACTGCCAGGATATTACAAGAAGAAAAACGTGTGTATTCACTGAAAATCAGTCTGTCTTTCAGCAGTTCCCATTGCTGTGTGTGATGCCTGTTTCTTCTCTTTCTGTTCCAGTGTCTGAAGGATTAAACCAGCCAGCTGACGACACCTGCTTTGATACTTACACTGGCTCCTTCTATTCCATTGGCGAGGAATGGGAGCGCTTATCTGAAACTGGCTTTAAGCTCTGGTGCCAGTGTTTAGGCTTTGGCAGTGGCCATTTCAGATGTGACTCTTCTAGTGAGTAGCTTGCTGTTAACCATTCCCATCCCCACTCTCCCCCAGCTGCAGTGGCATGTTTGACAGACTCAGCCTGATCCAAACATGATGCAGATGAAGGCAGGATCTTAAACCAAAGCGGTGTTTTGCATCGTGAGAAGTGATGGAAAACTTTGGTTACCTCTGAGCTTTGCAGCTAATCTAGAATTGCCATCAGCAACAATCACTATTGTATTGATAAGAGACTTTTTTACCTTGCCAGACATGTCTAGGTAATATGGGAAAGTGTGGATTTCAGTGGTTATTACAGCCAGTGCTGCTATTACAATAAATATGGTTTGCATTGCAGGCAGCCTTTGCAAAGCAGCTTGCAAAACCACTTTTCTAATTTTTCTAACACTTCTGCCCAGGGCATTAAGTTTTATTCTTTGCAGAACTGTGTGGTTTACATGGGAAAAAAAAATCCAACTTGACATAAGGGAATGGAACAAAAGTCTAACACAAAAGTTTAACACAACACATACCCAGCTAATTGAAATTAGGCTTTTAAATTGTGGAATAAGCTCAACAGAGAGAGTATTTCTGCAGTTTGCATAGATTCAGAGGAGTCTTTGTAAAGACACTTAATTTTACAGGAAAAGATGCTTATTTTACAGAATTAATATTTATGTTTCATTATTTGATACACATGGCTTACCCATGGTGTCTTGTGAGATTGTGGTGAATTTTATGCTGCGTATTTGCACAGAAAAGAACATTTAAATATTTTTCTCTCCTTTCCTGCCCCACATCTATTAAATTTCTTTTCATCTCCTATGAACCAAACCGCCTCTCCCCACTCTATTACATCCTACTTTTTTCCCCAAGAGCCTCTACACATTTTCCAGAGCTGAAACAGCCTTCAGCAGTTAAAAACTGCAGGAGCTGAACACATTTCCATCTTGGGACTTAGATGAGCTGAGAAGATTCTTTCTGCTGCCTTTCCTGAGACAATGCCAAGCTCTTTCCTTCCTGCTGCTGTGGGATAACTCCTGATTCTTGTTCCCCTGCCTTCTCCAGAGTGGTGCCATGACAATGGAGTTAACTACAAGATTGGGGAGAAGTGGGACAGGCAAGGGGAGAATGGCCAGATGATGAGCTGCACCTGCCTTGGGAATGGAAAAGGAGAATTCAAGTGTGAACCTCGTAAGTGTCTTTGTGCTGTTAGTCTGAGCCCTCATTCAGCAAGTCTCAGCATCTCAGCTCTGCCCTGCCAGGGGGACAAGCAGACTGTCAGTGTGTCTGGTTCAGGCTGAACTGGTGACAGCTTCAGTCTGTTCTCACAAGAGATGAAGGCATAAATCTCACATTCCTGAGCTTGAAAAGGAGAAAACCTTTTGTTAGATCAGGTCACAGCACACTGAGCACCTGTCTGCCTCTGGCCCTGGAGCTGCACACCAGGGACCTGTCACTGTCTCAGAGGGGTGGATTGCCCCAGCTGGGCCTGTTGCCTCAAGCTCCTCTGGCCTTCACAGTGTGACTTAAACTGCATTGCTCATGTCAGGAAAACCCCCCCTGCTGTAGGTTAAAGTGTCTGGAGAGCTGTGACCATGTCTGATGTTCCCCTGCCAGTCAGGGAGCCCCTGGTCAGACGAGGGGAGCACGCTTCCCCAGGGGCTCCTCTGCTGAGCACCAGGCTGCTTTGAGAGTGCTTAAAGCCAGGCCCAGGCCCTGCAGCTGAGCTCTGCCCGTGCCTCCACAGATGAGACCACGTGCTATGACGATGGGAAGATGTACCACGTTGGGGAGCAGTGGCAGAAGGAGTACTTTGGGGCCATCTGCTCCTGCACTTGTTACGGAGGACAGCAGGTAAGCAGGAGGGAGGTGTTACGTGGGACACAGGGGAGGCTGTGCTGGGCTGCACGTACCAGACTGCTGGGTTTCAGGTCATGGAATGGGCTAAAACGGGCCCAAATAAGGACAGAAGTAATTAGGAGAGCTGCAGCACTTGCACTGGTGCCTGTCTGGTGTAACACAGGAGCAGCCTCACTGGTGCTGCTGGCTCTAGCCTCGTGTATGAATGATCATGAATTGATGGCTTTAAGCTGAAGGAGAGTAGACTTAGATTGGGTATCAGGAAGAAATTCTTCCCTGTGGGGGTGGTGAGGCCCTGGGACAGGTTTCCCAGAGCAGCTGTGGCTGCCCCATCCCTGGAAGTGTCCAACGCCAGGTGGATGGGGCTTGGAGCAGCCTGGGATAGTGAAAGGTGTTCCTGCCCACGGCAGGGGAATGGAATGGGATGAGCTTTAGGCTCCCTGGAGTCTGGGATTCTGTGAGCCCTGGCAGCTCCTTGGCCACGGCTCTGAGGGCCCGTTCTGTCCCCGCAGGGCTGGCGCTGTGACAACTGCCGCAGGCCCAGCGTGGAGGTGGCCCCCGAAGGCTCTGCTGGCCACACCTACACTCAGTTCACTCAGAGGTACCACCAGGCCACCAACACTGTGAGTACAGCTTTCCTGGTGTGGCACAGGTGGCGGGGTCGGTGCTCCCCAGTAGTGCATGGCAGCCCCAGTACACACACACCTGCTTGAGCTCACCCCCTCACACACAGTCCCAGCCTGGTGCATGCTCTGAGGCAGTAGTGCATGGAGTGATTTCCAGCTGTGTGCTTTGTGCTGGGAAGCAGCCCCAGGCGCTGCCAGGAGCTCCCAGCTCAAAGCACACCCGGGACAGAGCTCTAACTGATTTCCTTCCCTCCTGACAGAACGTCAACTGCCCCATTGAGTGTTTCATGCCCCTAGATGTACAGGCAGACACACAACATCCACGGGGAAAGTAACATCCAGCGAGACTGCTTGCGGCCATGGCAACAGACAAACCAAAGTGTAAAACCCCTATGTGCCACGTTACCATCCAAACTGGAGTGATGCTAGCAAAAGTGCATCTAGTGAGAATGGCCCCCTGCTCTGGAGCCATTTTCCCAGCTTAAGCTCAACTCACAGCTTCTCCAAGCGCCACTCTTGGAGTGTTTCAGACTTTTCTCGTGATTGATAGCGATTGTCTTGGTTTTGCTCAGAGGGTTGAATTCCAGTCAATATTTTCAAATTTAAAGAGGGCAAGTAAAAAAAAAATAAAAGGGGGAGGAGGGGGAGAGGTTGTAAATCACAAATCTGGTGGGGGATCAAAATACTGATGGGGAGGGAGGGTGTAGAAATTCAAGGTTCCCGTGCTATGCAAGAACATTTGAGTACAACAATCCTGAGGTTTAGGGATAGGAAAGTCCACCAAACACTTCTGCTTTCACATAAGCGTGCAGCCAGCAATAAGATAGGAACAGCAAATCCAGTCACTGTGATATTTAAAATATGCACAGTCCTAATTCTTTCTTGATGATCCTAGTATTTTTCTAGCTGTATCTTTATATCTCATACTGTTATTTATCAGTTTTGTTCCCCTGACCTTCAAGTGTTTTTATATGGGAATAAAATGTATGGAAGACACTTAGTATGCAGTTGACAAAAGAGGAATTTGGTGTAATTATGATCAGTGATTATTTTTATACTGTAAGTGCCAAAGCTTTACTACTGTGGAAAAGAAAAAAAAAAAACCAACTCTTTTAATAAAAAGATTTACAAACCAGACACATAGTTCAAGTGATTCTCTTTGCTGCCGTGGAATTTAGGATGAAGATGATTATCCTCAGCTGGATTATTCTGAGGTGGATAATTCTGAGCGGGATGATTCAGAGCTGGAGTAACATTGCCTTGACACGAGATGGAACAAACATCCCCAAGAAGAGTGAAGTAAACCTGGAGAGACTATTGGTAGAGCAGTTTGCTAATTAAAGGCTTCCAGCTGCACCCCTGCCCCCGTAGAGCGCAGACAGTGGTAGGTACAGCACGGGCAGGAGGCACAGGCTTGCTTTGGGGCAACAGGAGAAGGGAGGGAGAGGCAAACAGCCCCTGCTTTGCACATGAACTGAGCTAGAGCTGGTTCCGTACCTAGAATTCAATAAGCTTTCAGTAGCTGAGGTGCCAGAATTAGTGAGACAGTCCAAACCTGTGAATTTCAAGGTGTCCAAAGCTTCAAAACCCAGCAGGAGACAGGCACCAGTTGGGTCTAAGCCTGGGTGTTACAGGCACAGGCCCCTTGTCTCCTGTGCTTCTACCTCACGGTGGGGAGGGAGGTAAACAAAATGCTCCTCACAAGCCTTTTGATGAGTGAACCAAGCCAGCAGTGAGTCCTTTGCTTGCTCTGCCAGGACCTGTGCAGCCTTTGCAAAGGCAGAAGAGGCCAGGTGCTGTCAGGATTGCTGAGCCCCCTCCCCTCGGCTGCACACGCACTGTACTGCTCCGGTCACTGGCATTCTCTGCACCCAATAAAGCATCACATGAAAACTCCATTTGCCTTCTTGACGTGTGCCAGCTGCCCTCAGGGATTGCTATCTACAGAGCACCCCAAACCTCTGCAAAGAGTAGGATGATTGTTCTACTCCACCTGTGCTCAAAAGCCAAACGTGTCCCTAAAAAAACCTGAGAACTAAAACTGGCCCAGACAGAGACACAGAGGAGTCATTTCCCATTAAACCAGATTGGTTTTCCCAAGTGAGGGCTACATATTTTGGATCAGAGAACAACTCTGCAGTGATCCTTTCACAGTCACTTTGTCACTAAATAATTCACCAACACACTGGAGTCAGAGCCCACCTCCTCTCCTCTGCCACATCTCGTGTACCAGCAGCAACCACCTCCCCTGCCCACGGGGAGCATTTCAAGATAAAATCATTGAAACAGCACTTTTCCCCAAGCTCCCTGTAGAGGTTTGTCTGTGCCTTAAAGCAGGTGGTGCTCACAGCTATGCCAAGCCCTGCAGAATTTAAGCCCTTGGCAGTTCTTTTCCAGAACGGGAGGCACATCTCCACAGGGCTTGTCTGCTCAGCTTTGGGTAGAGCTCAGGAACAACCAGAGTCAGGGCTCTCTACTCTAGGGAAAAGTCCCTTGGTGGCTGAAGAAGAAAATAAAACCCCTCTGTTACTGGCTGCCAAGGCCCAGAATGATTCCTCCCTGCTCTCTGTTCACATCCACATTTTGGGAGCTGTTGTCCTGCCAGCACAGGACCTGCCAGGGGCAAGGTGCCACAGGTGACAGTGCAAATCCCAGCCTGGCAGCAGCTGCTCCTCGGGACACAGCAGCTGAAGGGACATTCCCTACATTCCCTTCCTTCTGGGAAATGACACCAAGCAGAGCTCACAGTGTGCTTTTAATCCCTGCAAACATCCAAGGCAGAAGCAGGGGAGGGAGGGAGGGACACCTTGAGACCACCACAGCCCTTTCCTACAACCACTCCCACAGCTTCAGGGGAAGCTTCCTTCAGGGGGAAGGTGCCAGGCTAGTTGAAATTGTCCCTGCAGCCCAGGGGACAAGCCATTCCCAGAGACATTTCTGTGAAGTCACCTCACCTGGAACCAGACCAGAGATTTTTATCAACCTTTATCCACTCAAGTGAGGCAGGATCATCAAGAGCTCTTCTCTGGGACATTAAACAATCCAATTTCCCCCCTCTGACAACTCCTGCCTGTCCTTTAACCTTACCACAGGCACAGCAGGAGGCAAAACCATCCCTCTGCAGGTGCTGAGATGTTTTGATGACTTGTGTCCAAGCCATGCAGCACAAGTAAGACAGCAGGCAGGTCCTAGGTAGAGGTATCAGCTGAGGTAGATATTTCCTATCTCCTGCAGATCTCACCTGAAGATCGGTACCTATTAACTGCCTTCAGTAAAACAAACAGTGCCCCAAGGACAGCAAACAAGGGAGCAGGGGAATACACAGAGCAGGAGCTGCCAGATTCTTACTGCCAGCCTCTGTTTTAGCCAATGCTAAAAGAAGATGCAGGTAAAGAATGGCCAGAGGGATTCCCTGGAGAACCTCACAGCAGGGTCTGTGCCAGCTGCAGCCACAACAGCAGGACACAGAAGACATGTAAGGAACATTGTGGACTCTCATCTTTGGAAGAGTCCCAAACACCAACTTTTAAAGTAAAACAGCAATGACAATTTACTGGAAGCAACAGCACAGAAAACAGTCAGAGGCCAGGGTTGGGGTTAACACAGCAAAGGGGAAATGGACAATTTTTATTTTGGATTGCAGTATTAATCATGCCAAAAAAGTAGAATGCTCTCTACCCTATGCTGTCTCATCCAGTCACTTGGAAATAATCCATTGTAGAGATCAGAAAAGACAAAATGATCCATTGTAGAGATCAGAAAAGAGAGGAGTCTGCTCCCTTTCAGACTGGAGCAGGGGCAGAGGACTGTTAAAGGAAAACTGGTGTGTGGGTTATGGTACTTTAAATAACTCACCCAGGAAGTGTCTCTGCTTTGCTCCATTTGAACCAGTCTGGATCAAACAGACAATCAGGTAAAACAAAAGCCATGGCCACAGTCACAGCAAGTCAGCAGCACCCCCAGATTTCCCCCCTCCCAGGTCCATCTCCCACCTGGGCAGCCCTGCTTGAGCCAAGGACACAGTGCAGACTCCCTGCTCTGCACCAGCTGAGAGCTGAGCCCACACAAGTGATTACTGAAAAACTCTGGGCTGCTCCTGGGCAAAACTGAACACATTTTATAAAATGGAACCAAAAAGAGAAAATCCCCTTGGAACAGGCTCAGTGATTGCCAGTAAAAATGTGTCTGGGCTCATCCTGCACTTGTCTCACTGTGCTCCACATCTTCACTTTGCTTTTTCCCAGACTTAAGTTCAAATCTGCTTAATGCAAACTGCAGACAGCAGAAAAGGAAGTGGCTCCAGTCACTTTCCACCCTCCAGCCTGTGAACTCTGCTCTGCTCCCAGTATGGGGACAGGCCTGCCAGTGGGTCTTCTACCTTGGAGAAAGCACTGCCAAGGCAGAGTGTAGGGCAGGACTCACAGCACCAAACCCCAGAGTGCCTCGTGCAAAGGAGCTGCTCCCTTCTCCTCCCAGGGAAGAGGATAATGGATTAGAAGTACCTGCTGACACAAAAACCCCCCAACTCAGCTTGTCAGGACAATGCAGATCTCTATCAGTTCCATGAGAAGCTGAGCAGAAGCCAGGCTTTCACACCACTCCACAGGCCATGTATTGAATTACTACAGTCAGGACCATAAAACCTACCTCAAAAATAAACCTTTTTCCTGAGGACACAGAATTTGGGTGACAGGGACCACACAGACAGCAGGCAGCTAACAACTGTATGTTTATTTGCAAAAGAGACTGCTTTTCTACACTGGAAGCCAGCCTGTACCTCTTCCTTCTCCCCAAACAGGGGTAAGGCTCTTCCCAGAGTGACCAACTCTTGCTAAGCACAGGCTGCAGGAGCCTCCCAGTTACTCCAGTGACATCTGGCTGCCGGTGAGGCCGTGCCCAGAGAGGGCTCAGTGGTGGAACAGACGGAGGTTGGTGTGGATGAGGGTGATCCCCAGCTCGTTGCAGGCCTCGATCACCACGTCGTCGGCAGCCGAGCCCGACGGGGCGGCGATGAACTGCACTCCACTCTGCACAGACAGGGAGGAGGGCAAACATCAGAGGATGGAAACCCAAAATCCCCCTCAGAAGGAGCTGGCAGTCCCAGTTTTTCATCCACATCCCACTGAACAAAGGCTTCCAGTCCCAAAGATGCTCCTTAAGGGAGCAGGAAGTTCTCTCTGCTGCTCAGAAAAAACCCTAAAATGGTTCCTTTGGAAGCAACAGCCCTTGGCTTGATACTCCTAAATGGTTTAATAAACTTAATCCTCTATTCATCCCAAATCAACAAAATGAGCAATGACTGGATAATTACTGTCCATGTGAGAGCTGTAACCACCAGGAACATCCTTCCCAGGATCTGCTATCCTAGCGCATGGATTTTGCTCAGCAGTGCTCACAGAATGAAAAGGACAAGCTTGGGCTGCGCAGCCATTCCCCAGGAGCCACCCCAGCCTCCTGGAGCCATGCCAGCACCCTGGAGCCACCCCAGCCTCCTGGAGCCACCCCAGCCTCCTGGCCCTGCCACGGCCTTACCCTCTTGGCTCTGTCGACGTTATCCCTAAAAGGGAAGAAGGCGTCGGAGCTGAGGGACACAGCAGACAGCTTGGCAATCCACTGCTTCTTCTCTGCTTCCGTCAGCTGCTTGGGCACCTCTTCAAACAAGGCCTGCCACTTCAGCAGGTCCTCATCCTGCAGGCATGAGAAGCCAGCTCAGCCCCAGAGCACACAGCTCCCGCAGTTCCCTGCCAGGGGGATGAGTGATGGCCTCCCTCCAATCCCGGGATTTCTGCTCCATGACTCTGCTGCTGGGAACTTCATACCAGAGGGCTTAAAACACATCACCACCATCAGCTCTTTCTGCATCCTTTTAACTCCTTCCCTCTCCTCACCACAGGACCTGAGGGATTCCTTCTCTCCCTCCTGAATTCCAAGATGGTCTGCCTGCAGTGTGCTGCTCCATGAATGCCAGCAGGCATCTGGTAGATGACTTAACCCATGACCAACGGCAGCTCAGTTTATGATTCACCTTCTGAAACAGCAACTGATCCAGTTCTTACCCTTTTAAACAAGCAACTGCTCACAAGGTGATTCACAAGGTCCCTAACCCAGCTCTTGGCTTTTGATACTTAAAAAGGACA